ATCATCCTGTCATAACACAGGTCGCAACCTGTTTGCCTTCCCAGCAGGCTGGTAACACACCTTACGCTTGTGGGGGTGAACCTGAAGTGATTTGCTTTTCCTGTTTTAAATGTTCCATATTGGTTATCAGATGATTATGATGGAGCAGGAAACATTTACAAGCAGCAGATAAGGCAGATATCTGATTGACAAGATTACCGGGCAGCTAGGTCTCAGCAGCAGCGTCCCTGGATCAGGAAAGGATGGGATCTCCTGAAAGATTGGAGCAGCCTGATGCCCAACTCCTGGCGACCCTCCCGGGAACACCCGCGCCCCACCCCGGTGTGGGGCAGGGCAAGGGCATGGGGAAACCTACTGTCTGAAGTGGCAAACCTTTGGCTTCTGTGCTATAGAAAGGACTTGGGTTGCCCAGTTAGGGAGATCAGCGGCCATATTCGAATTTTCCCGTCAGCTTACTGAAAGGAAGTCAGGCACTGAACTATGGCTTTCTGCTGTCTTGCAGAAGCCACAAGAGCATTCTGGAAGACCCCACTCAGGTTAGAGATAGTTCTGCCTGCTTGATATAACAGGTTATCTTTCTTTTTGTTTGCTAATCCTTACCAGAGGATATTTTTCCATTGATTTTTAGAGAGAGTGGAAGGGAGGGGGAGAGACACAGAGAGAGACATTGATGGGAGAGAGACACATCGATTGGTTGCCTCGTGCACTTGGCCCTTGACCGGAATTGAACCAGGGAACCTCGGTCTGAGGGCCGATGTTCTATCCACTGAGCCAAACCGGCTAGGGCCACAGTTTATCTTTCAATAGAACTTTTCTTCTCCTCTTCTAAGCACCCAAAGAAACCCAAACAGACCTGCTACATTAGTGTCTCTCAACTGAAGGCAGTTTGGTTCCCCAAGGGACATTTAGCAGCGTCTGGAGACATTTTGGGTTGACAGAATTTTGTGTATGGGGGATGCTATTGGATCTAGCCAGTGAGCTACATATAGCTACTACATAGTGAGCAGGAAAGCCCCCCACCCCAAGAATTTTCTGGCCCCAATATCACTGGTGCGGAAGTTGAGAGCCTTTGCTCTAGATAAGGTTACCTTTTCGTGCCCCCATCTGGTATATTTCTCGTGTCTTCCTAATGCCCAGATTTTTTCCCCTCCAGCTTTATGCATTAAGCAGAAATTATTTTTGAACTACAGAGAATATTCTCTCAGGGTTCACTCAATCAGAATCTCTTCTGCATCCATCATCCTCTTATAGGGGGCACAGGGACAGGAGAAAGTTCAGATAAGTTTTTTTTTGAATTTTATTTTCAGTTACAGTTTACATTCGATATAATTTTGTGCTAGTTTCAGGTGTACAGCGTAGTGGTTAGAAGAAGCATAAACTTTACAGAGTGATCCCCGATATTTCAAGTATCCACCTGGCACCATACATTAGCAATACAATATAGTGACTATATTTATTTCCTATGCTGTACTTTATATCCCTGTGACTTATTTTTTTAAAAAAACATGTTTTTATTGATTTTAGAGAGAAAGGAAGGGAGAAAGAAAGAGAGAGAGAAACATCTATCAGTTCCCTCCTGCATTCACCCTGACCCTGACTGAGGATCAAACCCACCATCTGGGCATGTGACCTGACTGGGAATCAAACCCGTGACCTTTTGGTGCACAGGACGATGCTCAACCAACTGAGCCACACCAGCCAGGGCCCTGTGACTGCTCTGTAACTACCAATTTGTACTTCTGAATCCCTTCACCTTATCCATCCAGTTCTCCCAGAGAAGTCTTTTTAACCTGGTTTTCTCACCAAGTAAGACTAGTAGTGTCTACCCCGAGTACCCCTCTGGGTGGTTGTGAGGATAAAGTGAAGATGGTGTGAGTGACAGTATGCTGAAAACCATAACGTGGGAAGAATATCGGAGCAGTTTTACTCTCTGGAAACCAAGTAAATGGTCTGTCTTAACTGTTGAAGTGACACAGGGACATAACTGGGCTCAAGAGCCATGTATTCCCTGCAGCCAGGTTTTAGAGGACTGGCTTATCTGTGTCTCTGGGCTTGGAGCCATTTTCTTAAACGAGTAAGCCTACTTTTTTGGCTGCAAACGCCTGTCGAGTTTTATTGGGCTTTGATGTGCTCGGCAAATGGATCCCTTTAGTCAGGCAACAGTTTTGGTCCCTAACTTGGGGCTTTTTAGCCTGTGGGTTTGGTGATCCTGGCTTGGGGCTTGCCACCAGGCCCCTGCCTAGCAGCTGCCCAAGACCTTTTGTCTTGGAAATGGAGGCTAGATGGCAGTCTGTGACCGGGCGCCCCCTGCCTATGGCACTTTTGTTTGCAGCATGAGAAATGAGGAATTGAAAAGGCCTAGATTGAGAATTTGCTCTGCTTTTGGAAGCTGGAGATGTCTTATGCCCCAGGCCCATGAAAGTGGATCAACACTACCTATCACACCATCATGAAACTATAGACAGAAAAACGCCTTGGTTGACTGACATCAGGACCTGATACAAGATCAACCAATCAGTACAGCCCAGGACCCCAACTCCCTTAAATCACCATGATTTTTATTTTCTGGTCAATGGATTTTATTTTCCTTTTTGAATGAACAGTAGCCATATAAGATTTATTAAACCAGTAATGGAAACACGTTACTGGTTTGTCAATAGGCAGACAGACAAACAGTTCAGACACTGACTCAAATACATATGGAAATTTAGGGAGCCAATTTAATCAGAGAATAACAAGATAGATTTTCTATCTTGTTGGACCTTTAACTTTTTCTTATTTCTCTAATTTTTTATTCTTTTTAAAAATATTTAATAACCATAATTAATTTTTCCTGTATATAACATGTCCCCGTGTGGGCCATCGGGGAGCCAGGTTTTAGAGCCCTAGCTTACCTCTGTCCCTAGGTTTGGTGCCATTACCTTGAAGTAATAATCCTCTACTTTCCTTGTTGCATCCTCCCCCACCCCTCAGTGCAATCACTCTTGAAAGTCTTAGTTGTTTTCTTAGTAGAAACGAGAGTAGGAGCTTTAGAAGGATTGGGTAATGAGGATCTGCCAGGCATCTGTGAGGCTCTTTATCAAGGAAGAGCAGGCATTTGAGAGCATTAAAACCTCATAATAAAAACCAGGAACAAGACCTAGGTGCCTGCAATCTTGGCCACTTTTCCCCATTATCCTGGGGGTTCTAGCCAGAAAGTCCGGCCAGCCTGGCTCAGTGGTTGAGTGTAGATCTGTGAATCAGGAGGTCACGGTTTGATTCCCGGTCAGGGCACATGCCCAGGTTGTGGGCTTGATCCCAGGTGTGGGTTGTGCAGGAGGTGGCCGATCAGTGATTATCTCTAATCATTGATGGTTTTCTCTCTCCCTCTCCGAAATCAATAAAAATATTTTTAAAAAATAAGGAAAAAAGAAAAGAAATGTGACGATATGAGGCATGAACGGACAAAACTGACATTACTCAGAGATAAGTTTTTTTTTTGTTAATCCTCACTGATTATATTTTCCCATTGATTCTTAGAGAGAGAGGAAGGGAGGGAAGGGGAAGAAGGGAGGGGGAGGGAGAGAGAAACATTGATGTGAGACACATTAATTGGTTGCATCTCACACACTGGATCAAACCTGCAACTCAGGGACTTGCCCTTGACTGGAAATTGAACCCTTGACCTTTTGGTGTGTGGGTCAACATTCTAACCATGAAAAACACTGGCCAGTGCCTCAGAGATAAGATTTTTTAATCAATAAAGTATTAGAACTGTTTATATGTGAGGACAATTAAAAAATCTAGCAGCATTTCTGTGTACCACCAATAACTATTTAGAAAATATAATAGAAAAAGATGCCATTAACAGTACCAACAAACATTATGCAGTCTCTAACCAGTATATGAGATCTTTATGGAGGAAACTGTAATGTTTTAATGAAGAACAAGAAAAAGGAGGTTATACAAGGAGGTTTATTCAGAGGTTAGGTACTAGGGTTGTGACTAAGCCATTGTGCATGGAATCGAGGCCGAAAGTGGATTGAGGAGCCTTCTTAAGGTCACACGGCCAGTTGACCACCAGACTATCGACTTCCAAAGCAGGATTTCTTACTGGTTTCCGATAGACATTTTCCTAATGAGTTTCATCTGAGGGATTTTATGTGTTTGGAGTGTGGCTTTGCTGGATTCTATATTATATCATTAGGGAACTATTGCTCTTGGTATTTCGGGATAAGATGGGGTCTGGCTCCTGTGAATTGGCTGCCCATCTCATCTTTCTGCCATTGTTGGTCCTAAGTAGGTGATGTAGCTCCTGGTCGATGGGGACCTACCATATTTAAGAATCACGGCTTCAGGAAGCCTCTTGTTGGCTCATAGTATTATTATATGCATTCAGGGTAGACGTACTAGTAAAAAATGGGTGATCATTCTTTGGTGACTCAAATCCAATGGATCTATTCTCCAAAAGCCTGATGTTGAAAGAATCCCAGGGCAAACTGACATTATTTTGTTGGCTTTGCACATTTAGACTTCCATATATTGGGCTCTTAACTATATCAGCAATATTAGTAATGGTGGCACTGTGTTAAATGCATGCATTGTATCATCCCATTTAATCCCAACCACAATACCATGAAGTTAAGTATTATCGTACCCATTTTACAGATGAGAAAATTGAAGCTGAGAGGTTAAGAGACCTGTCCAGGGTCATGTAGCTGGTAGAGCTAAAATTTGAACTCGGGTATGCCTGGGTTGTAGCCATTTTGCTATCCTGCTATAGGGCTGCCAATTAATTCTTAGACATTAGTTTTTTAATCTATGTCCTCTTAAAATAGAAGCAAGAAAAACATCCTAATATGTAAACCATGTATTGAGTAGTGTAATCCAGGGTGGCTTTTTAATTAATGTATGAAATGCTGTAATTGTCTTTTGTTGTTTCTTGATGTGTTTGTTAAAATTCCTTTTGAGAATGCACATTTGTTTTGAAACCAAACCTGTCTTTCTTGCCTACATTTCAGTCAGAACTAAGACATGGTCCGTTTTACTATATGAAGCAGCCACTCACCACAGACCCTGTTGATGTTGTACCGCAGGATGGACGGAATGATTTCTACTGCTGGGTTTGTCACCGGGAAGGCCAAGTCCTTTGCTGTGAGCTCTGTCCCCGGGTTTATCACGCTAAGTGTCTGAGACTGACATCGGAACCAGAGGGGGACTGGTTTTGTCCTGAATGTGAGGTCAGTTTCTGATGAATGAATGCATTCTCTGCCTGGTTTCTTCTCCTTTCTCTTTCTCCCTTATATTTTTAACTCTTCAAATCATCGAGATGCAGGGAAAAGAGAAATTTCTTGCCTTCCACCTGCTCTATCCTGGTCATCCATCTCCTTTTTGGACCAACATTGGCAGTTGGTCCAAGTGGCCTCTTGGAAAGACATTCTTTTTGATTCCTCATGGGTCTTTGGATCGCTTTGAGATCCGCAACCTTCTCTTCTGTAATGAACATTCCAGAGGTTAACTTATGCATCTTTACCGATTTTGAAAAGATCTCATGCTATTTTTCCCTTTCTTGGATGTTGTCTCCTGCTTCATCATTGAATCATCGGCAGTAGCCACGCTAGGAAGACCAATTTTGGTTGTATATTCTGTGTGGTTGCCATCTGATGCTTCTGTTCTGGCAACATCTGCTTCTTCTGTGCTCCTTCGGTGCTAGGGAATCAGCAGTAAAGAAAAAGAGGCAAGAATCACATTCTTTTCAGGAGGAAAGGGCAGGAACCAGGCTACATAAAGTTACGTACAGTGTGTTAGAGGAAGAGTGTTCTGGAGAGAATGAATTGACGATGAGGAATAGGGAGTGAGGAGGGCGCAGGGTGTTCCCATTTTAAATGAAGAGACCCAGGAAGCCTTACTAAGATTTGAGAAAGACGTGAAGAGGAGGAGTGAAGACCCTCCAGGCAGAGGGGCAGCAAGTTCAGGACCCCAGGCAGAAAGACGCGCACTGGCACAGTGAAGGGAATGTTGTATTTCATTTGTAGCAAAGTCTAAACACTCCTTAAAACAGTTGGGGTGGTTTCCGCTGTTCTGAAGTGCCTTCTGTTCTTGGTGACTTCCAACTAGGATGCTCTTCAAAATGCTGAAAATAATGTCGTCTATAGAATCATTTCCTGTGGAATGTCACGTGATCCAAAGGATCTGTTGGCATTAGATCTCAAACGAGGGAGGCTTTCTATGTGTGAAATGGAAAGTTCACCCAGATGTTATTTGTGGGGGAAAAAAAGCAAGCTATGTATAGGATAGTGTCTGTGGTGCCACTTTGTGTAGGAAAAGGAGAAATATAAGAAATTAGACTTTCATCCAATAGGATGGTGACATTTGAATGGTGTTCTGCCCCTGAAATTGCAAAGGATGGCCTCTGGTTCTCTTTGGGTTACTCTAGATCAGCGGTCGCCATCCGGTGGTCCGCGGACCACTGGTGGTCCATGAGGTCCGAAAGGTTGGCGGCCGCTGCTCTAGATGGAGAGATGTGCAGGGCACGTTTTCCTCAGCTACTCCCTCTTGGTCAGAGCCTCACCTCATTCTTCTGCATTTAGTGTGGGAACTGGAGCCTTCACCTATTTCCTTTTGTCTTGACCAACCCTCCCTTCCTTCATTTTGCAAAAAAGATAGTGGCTCGGAGAGGATGTTTTTGCTGCAAACAATAGATCTTGATGAAAGGTGACAGAGAGACAAGAGGGTTTTATTAGCATGTGTAGGAAAAACCCAGGGCAGGGCCAGGCCAGCGTTTGTTCAGAGCCAGACTCTTTCCGTTCCATCATTAGGGCCGTGTGTCCCTGCATGGCCCTACGATGGCTGCTGGGGATTTGATGACAGTGGCTAACAAAAATCCCCTAAAAGGAGTGTCTCTCTTCACATCCCTTTTTATCAAGCACACTTGCTCTTCGGTTCATTGGTCAGGATTGGATCACCAGTCCTTATGCAAAAAAGGCTTGAAAAATGCACATCTGGCACTTTCCGTCTCTATCGTGGGAACCGGGCACTGCCAGCCAGGAGGGAAGGGAAGAGGTTGGGGGGAGGGGGCAGAGGAGGCGAATGGCAGTTGAGCACGCAACCCAAGTGTTCGCCAGGGATCGGTTACCTGGAAACGAACGGGAATTCAAACAAACAGGAGTGCTGTGTCTAAGATTTCAAGCCCCAGTTTCCTTGCGGGGTGACTTGGTAGGGCCGTCAGCTGGTAGCCAAGCAATTAGAGACTTGCGTCATGGACTGTGTTCGGCTTCAGAGCCTCTTTGTGTTGCCCTTTTCCTCGACAACCAGGCACATCTGCAAGTTCCTTTTGGAGCATCCAGAGACAGGAAGAATGGAAATGAAATCCAAATTAATTGGAGAAAACTTTCTCAGCTCGCTCGACACAGATGGTTCAGGAGCGTTCCCTGCCATCATCAGCCTGGCTGTTTTTGTTGTCTTTGCCGCCCGAGGATGCTGAAGCTCTGAGACGTAGCACCACCAGATTTACATGGCAGAATCCAGTTTCAGGCATTCTCCGGGTCTCTTCTTGGATGGGAGTTTCCCTCACAAAGTGGCATTTATTGCCCATGGAGCTAAACAGCTAGGCTGTGCTTCTTGTGCAGTTTGCCAGTGTCCTAAGCGAGTTCCCATCAGTGGTGATAGAGAACTAAGTCATATTTATTATTCACCACCATCCCTTGAATTCATGCTTTCTCTCAGTGATGTCACTGGGTGAATGCCTTGTCAATTTCCTGACAGATAGCCCTGAACCTTAGGAACATTAAGATAAGTGGTTGATTCATTATATGAAGAGATTACCCTGAAAGCATCAGTGGCCTTTTCTCTTATCCCATTCTTGGAATTCAAGATTGTAATGATGGCGATTTTCAGGTCCCTGCCTAGCTGCAAGCATCTTTCTCAGATTCTGTCATCTTCATGAGCACAGAGCACTTCTGATAAGGTAGTCAGTGGATTTGTGTGCTTCTGACCTTTATCCATTGATCCAGTAAACTCCAAGTAGATTGGAGTCCTTGTCAAGTGAAACAACTATCGTTTCACTTGGAAATTATTTCCTTCTGTGTGTGAGCTAACTGGAAAGTTAGGAGGAAAAGGAAATCAGTCTGTGGATAGTAACTTTTTCCCTAACTGGCCCTCTGTGTGGTTTGACTTGTAGAAGATTACAGTAGCAGAATGCATCGAGACCCAGAGCAAAGCTATGACAATGCTCACCATCGAACAGTTGTCCTACCTGCTCAAGTTTGCCATTCAGAAAATGAAACAGCCAGGGGTAAGAAGAAAGTTCCTCGTGGTATAAGTGTAAATGGAAGTAGTGACTTTTGTTCTATTAACCTCTTTTTAAAAAAAATCTATCTTTTTAAAAAAATAATATATTTTTATTGATTTCAGAGAGGAAGGGAGAGGATGAGAGAGAAACATCAATGATGAGAGAGAATCATTGACTGGCTGCCTCCTGCATGTCCCCCTCTGGGGATTGAGCCTGCAACCCAGGCATGTGCCCTGACCGGGAATTGAATCAATCGAACCGTGACCTCCTGGTTCATAGGTCGATGCCCAAACGCTGAGCCATGCCAGTTGGGCTGTTCTGTTAAACTCTTATTCCATAATAGCTTTAGCTATGTGTGCTCTTTAGGCCTTCTTACATGCCTGAATTCAAACATCTGGAAATGAAATGTAAGTTATGACAGCATTCAGTTCTCTGTAATGAGCACTCTGTGTCCTCAGGACTTTAGTTGGGAAATGACATATAGTGGAGAACTTGATGGGGATTTAAAATTCTGATTGGTTATGTAGTGTAAACGCCCTCCTACCCCATCGAGTAAGGGGAATTTGACTCCTTCCCACGTGAGCTGGTAAACTTCCATTGCGATGAGAGACCTGAGTACAACCCAGTTGATTTATAATCAAGGTCTGATGATGAAACCTTCAAGTAAAATTCAACCAATGCGGTTTCCCGTAAAGGGTGAGAATTTGATTAGTTCCTTCAATGTTGAAATAGGATTTGATGTACGGACCCTTCCCCGTAAGGAAAATTTTATTTATTGACTTGAGAGAGACAGAGAGATAGAGAGATATCAATTTGTTTTTCCACTTATTGACGCATTAATTGGTTGGTCCTGACTGGGGATCGAACTTGCAACCTTGGCGTATTGGGATGGCGCTCTAACCAACTGAGCAACCCGGCCAGGGCGAAGAAATCTGTGTGGAAGCAGGGCTGCCACAGTCGGCTGGCAAATTGCGCACTTCACCTGGTTTCCCTCCTGAATGCCAGTCTGATCATAGCCAAGGAGGTTTTAGATTTCTTGTGATAGTTTTCAGGAAGATGGCAGTAAAATACCTTTCTTCTAAAAATAATCCATATATCATGCCATTATAATCAACATATTATGAAATTTTTCCTACAGAAACTTGAGGATGGAGTTCTCTTTTTCTCATTTGCAGCAGTAGTGAACCTTTGTGACTCTTTGGAGTTTGCTTTCTAAGTCCAATGAATCTATAGAAATGTAGAATATTTAGTAACCACTGTGGTTTAATTTCTTTTTAAAAAGTATGCTTTAGCTTTGAGTTTTCACATAGTGAATTTTTTTTTTTACTATATTTTATTGATTTTTTACAGAGAGGAAGGGAGAGAGTTAGAGAGTTAGAAACATCGATGAGAGAGAAACATCGATCAGCTGCCTCCTGCACAACCCTTCCTGGGGATGTGCCTGCAACCAAGGTACATGCCCTTGACCGGAATCGAACCTGGGACCCTTCACTCCGCAGGCCGATGCTCTATCCACTGAGCCAAACCGGTTAGGCGACATAGTGAAATTTGATATTATGATGAAAAAGATTGAGAGTGTGCCAATTAAGTATTGCTAAATTGTAATCTATTTTTCTCTTTATTAAAATGTTCATCAATGGAAGCAAAAGTGAATAGCCTCAGTTTGGTTAAAAAGACAGATTTTTTAAAACTATGGAGTTTTCTATTTTTAGTGACAAGGAATTACTTCCTGTTTTTCATAGGCTGGATTAATTATATCTGCTGAGGACTGTTTCAGAAGAATAATTATGTAGACTTGTCAACACTGTAGAATGATAAACCACAAAGAAAAATGGGATAGGGTGTTAATTTCTCACATAAATTGTTTGATATAAAATCAATCAGTTCAGAAAGTTGCTGATTTTTGTGGCAGCATCTTTTAAAAAATATTTTTATTGATTTCAGAGAGGAAGGGAGAGAGAGAGAAACATCAATGATGAGAGAGAATCATTGATCTGCTGCCTCCTGCAGGCCCCCTACTGGGGGTCGAGCCTGCAACCCGGGCATGTGCCCTTGACCGGACTCGAACCTAGGACCCTCAGTCCGCAGGCTGACGCTCTACCAACTGAGCCAAACTGGCTAGGGCTGTGGTAGGTAGCATCTTTTAAACTTACAATGGTCACTCATTCATTCTGGATAAAAGGGCTCAGCTGACTGCAAATGGTAATTCACTCAGATCCCTTGCTTGGGTATATTTTGGTATTTATAACTAAATCTTTTAATTTTTTTTTTTTTATTGATAACTAAATACCACCCATCAACAAATCAGGCTTATTTTTTTTAGCCGATTCACGTAGGGCTTAAGAAAATGGATCAAAATGAGAAACGTACATAGTTCCTGTGTTGAGGGTAACTGGGCTTTTTAAAGGAGAAGCAAAACCTTGCTGTTTAATTTTTTTCCCCACGTGCAAAATATCTGCTGGCACTTTGGGAACATTATTTGGAGTGTCATTTTTCCTCCTCAGTCAGTTTTGATTATGGGTATTTGCAGTGTATACATAAACTTCGTTCAAAGTTCAGGTCTAAAGGAACTGATAGTTGTTCTTGTCAATCTTAATACAGGGTGGGGCAAAAGTAGGTTTACAGCTGTGAGTACGTGAAACACAGACTTCATTCTCGTATTACTGTTTGTTGTTATTTTCCGTGGGAACAACTGCAAACCTACTTTTGCCCCACCCTGTATAAGAAGAACAGGACCTGTTATTTGCATATATCTTGAAAAGGGAGCAAATAAAACCAGAACACAGCTGGGTCCATGATTATTGATAAAAAGGCAGAATTAGAAGGGGAACCGATTTGGAGCGCTCCTCAGGGTCATTCTTTGTGAAAACTTGAAAGCCTGTTGTCTGAAAAGTTGTTCCCAGTTTAAAGTGCTTTGCTGGCCTTAATGCTTGGTCTTCCCCAGCAATAATGGTCTGTGTCTGTGTGCACGTCTTTTCCTTTATAGACAGACGCATTCCAGAAGCCTGTTCCGTTGGAACAGCATCCCGACTACGCAGAATACATCTTCCACCCCATGGACCTTTGTACATTGGAAAAGGTTGGCCTCCATCAGAGAACCTCACCGTTGTGTACCCCACGGTTGTCTAGATGACTGAGGATCCGCCCTCATTTTTCGTGTCCCATCTCAACATGGTTTCTCTACGTTTCCTCTGTGAATTTTTATTGGGATGGAAGAACTTTTATTCCCTAACTTCTTCTATAACATTTTTGCAGGGATTGCAATGGAGTGTTGCAGTCCACGGATAAGCTCCAAATATTACTTCTGCTTGCGATTCTTCACCTGAAAAAGTCATAGCTTCTAAGAATTAGCAATTTGATGGATTTGAGCCTTACCTCTTCTCTTCTCTCGGAGGTGCTAATGAGAGCAGCAGGAGGGCAGAAGAGAAAATTAAGTGTCTGGGAAACGTTCACATTAGCAGTGCATTTATGGCTTCATAGAACTTGACTTCTTTTACTGATAAGGGTGTTTCTTCAATGCCTGGAGGTGTTTTTAAAATTCATGCTAAATCTCCATGCTGGAAAGGACACTTGTAAACCGTTAGATTGTGCACAACATCCTGTGTTGATTTTCAAATTGTTGACACCAAAATCTGGGTCAAGAAAGCATGAATGAGGGGAAAGCATATGTGCACTGATGATCCCTAAACAGTTAATCCAACCTGCTTTTGGAAAATTGCACACATCCTCATGGTATTCCAAAAAGCAGGCATTCAAAAAAGGCAGGGTTGGCATTCTAGCTTCATAAATTAATAGCTTTGGAACTCTGCATACGTTCCTTAACATTCCCATACCTCGGCCCACCTGTCTGTAAAATGGGGATGATAATGACTGCTTCATCGAGTTCTCAATCATGAGGCTTATGGGAGACTATTACAAATAATAACAAATGCATAAGTATATGTTATGTCCTGTTCCATTGGAATAAGCTGCTGTAAAATGAGAAAATTCAGGTTAGTGTGATAAATTCAGTGGATGCGTTTTTATGGAGTTATAGATCTCCACTACAATAGCATCTTGGGAAATGGATAAAAGCATTAATTAATTTGGCAAATGACTGCTAAGGAAATTATGTGGGGGCGCAGGTGCTACTGGCTGTGGCTTGTGTAGACTCGGTGGTGATTATGCTCTGGCTTGTCTCTGCAGAACGCTAAGAAGAAAATGTATGGCTGCACAGAAGCCTTCCTGGCTGATGCCAAGTGGATTTTGCACAACTGCATCATTTATAATGGGGGTGAGTGCGTAGACGATGCCTGTAAAAGAGAGTATGCTGTGTGTGTTGCCCCTTCTTCCACTCTTCATAAAAATCAGGCTCTTTTCTTGCATCAGGGCCAATACCTTCAAATACTTGTGTAGGGATTGCTAATATTTGTGAATAGGGGGCCGGTGACTGTGTATTTGAAGTATGAGTTGACATCCAAACTGGCTGTGTAATGCTGCTGCCTGTCCTTTTTAAAAACTTCATTGTAATGGAGGAATAATTACATAAGATAAAAGGTACAGATTTTACGTATATATTCTATGGATTTGACATATGTGTAACCACAACCCCAAATAAGCTGTAGAATTTTTTCATCATCCTATTATATTCCCTCTTTGCCCTTTCCAGTAAATCCGGCCTACTGTTCTGTTCTCTGTCACTGTAGGTTAGTTTTGCATATTGTAGAATTTCTTGTAAATGGAGTCATAGAGATTGCATTGCACTCTTTTGTGTCTGGCTACTTGAATGCAGCATAAGATTTTTGGGATTCACCCATGTTGTGTGTGTCAGTGGTTCATTTTTTTTTATTGCTGTGTTTGTTTGTTTTATCAACATAGAATTTATTCATTCACCTTGTTGTTGATGGGTATTTGTGTTATTTTCAGCTTTTGGTTGTTAGGAACAAAGTTGCTGTGAGCATTCTTGTCCACGTCTTTGTGTGGACATATGTTTTCATTTCTCTTGGGTAAAAACCTAGAAGGGGTATTCTAGATCACAGAATAGGCTTGTATTTGAGTTTATAAGCGTTTTTTGCCAAGCTGTTTTTGCAAAGTGGTATGTCATTTTGCACTACTTCTAACAGTGTATATGAGCCTTAGTTACTTCATATTCTTGTCAACACTTGGTATTGTTAGTCAGTCTTTTTAATTTTAGCCATTCTTGAAGGTATGAAATATTATGTCATAGTGGTTTTAATTTGTCTTCCTGTAAGGACTCATGTTATTGAGGTGTTTTTTTTGTGCTTATAAGTCATTTGTATATCTTTTGGTAAACTACCTTTTAAAATCTTTTGCTCCTTTAAAAAATAGGATTTTTGTGTTTTATTATTGAGTTGTAGGAGAGCTTTATATTCTGAATAAAGTTTTGTCAGTTGTTTTGTCAGTTGTGTTGTTGTAGATTTAGAGGATCGAGCCTTCTCGACAGAAAAATCTCCTCTTGGCATCTTATGGTCTCAACTTCTCTCCCACAATCCTCTCTGTTTACCTCTGGCCAGCAGATCTTTCAGTGTCCTGCCCGATCCTGTTTCTCTCGCCCCCAGGTCTTGTTCCCTGCTGGAACAGACTTTACCTCTTTTTCCTGTTGGCTTTTTCTTATTCTCTTGTCTCAGTTTCTCAGTTCTCTGAAGAGCTTTCCCTGGTGAACTAGACCATATCATATGTTATTGTTAAGGGCTGCCACAGTACCTGCCCTTCCCTGCGGCAGCATTTCTTACCCTTTCTGGATGGTACTGTTTTTATTTGTTTGAGTTGCTTACCAGGATGTAAGCTCTTTAAGGCCAGGCACCACGTCTTGTTCCCTGCATACCCTTGGGCAGTGATGGCGAACCTTTTGAGCTCGGCGTGTCAGCATTTTGAAAAACCCTAACTTAACTCTGGTGCCGTGTCACATATAGAAATTTTTTGATATCTGCAACCATAGTAAAACAAAGACTTATATTTTTGATATTTATTTTATATATTTAAATGCCATTTAACAAAGAAAAATCAACCAACAAAATGAGTTCGCGTGTCACCTCTGACACGCGTGTCATAGGTTCGCCATCACTGCCCTTGGGTCTAGCGTAGACTTTTAGGTAACGTTTAAGAAAAGACGCATGAATGGTAGATGTTTACTTACAGCACATGTTTTGCTCAGTAGCAGGTTGGGGTGTAGGGAGGGAAGAGAGTCACTGGGCATTGAGAATTAGATAAAGATTATAAGCTCAAACGTATAAATAAGTGAATGAGGACTGGTGAGCGAAACACATCGGCACAGCCAGGGTTAGGCACTGACTGTGGGGAGAGCAGGATACTGTGGGGTTGCCTACCTCTTCTGGTGAGGTTCCTACCTGGTCTGGCGGGGCTGCCACTGGACACTCCATGGTTGTTGGACAGAGTTATCAGGTCCCCTGAGTTTTCAAGGCAAGCCAGAAATCTAGGTGCTTATGTGTGTGTGAAATCTTTTTGCCAGCAAACATACAATTTCTGAAAATAGAGTAACATTTGAAGAAAACATGGATTGCTAACCATCTTGTCCTCTGGTTTAGTGCAAAGGTAAGGTATTTAGAATCCTGGGGCCAGATCTTTAACTCACTAGCTAAGTGGGCTAGTGATGACTCCTGAGCCTTGGCTAGCTCAGTAATGAAATGGGAATATTCCTACCTGCTCCCTATATTATGGCTTCTTGAGGGGTTAACAACAAAATGTATTTTCAGGTGCTGGGTGCACCAGAGCTACGTAATTCAGTGTCTTTTTCCCTCGTACTCTTCTTGGGTTGGAGTCTGGGACAGTGGGTAGAGGAGGACTCCTTTCCACTAACTTAAGCCTTTAAAATGTAAAAAAGCATCTTTACTTTTAAAAAATATTTTTTATTGATTTCAGAGAGGAAGGGAGAGGGAGGGAGAGATAGAAACATCAGTGATGAGAGAGAATCATTGATTGGCTGCCTCCTGCATGCCCCACACTGGGGATCGAGCCCACAACCCAGGCACATGCCCTGATCGGGAATTGAACCGTGTCCTGGTTCATAGGTCGATACTCAACCACTGAGCCACGCCGGCCGGACTGTAAAAGCATCCTTAAATATGAATCCATGACTTGTAGGGAAACGCCACAAATTGCTCAATTTCAGAAAAGCTGACATCAAGGCACAAAGACTGGCTGACAGTCATGGGAGACTACACACAATTTGACGGGTATTAGAAGCCAGAACCTCCTGGTTTTTAGCCTTTAAAAGTTTCATCGTGGGGGAAAGCAAGTTAAAAGGTTGTTAGTGGAAATAAAATCCCAGGGCTGGGCATCAACATGTTTCCATTTGAATTAACCCAATTTTCTTATTCCCTTAGGAAATCACAAATTGACGCAAATAGCGAAAATAGTCATCAAAATCTGTGAGCATGAGGTATGTGTTTCCCACTGTCATGTTTTAAACATGTCCAGAGTGAGGATGGGGTGGCTGAAGTTTGCATGTGCAGGATCTCCCAGTGGGTAGCCAGAGTGGCTTTAGAATTTGTTTAGGCCCAGACAGCTCCCTCTCTCTTTAAGGGAAAGTAAAAGCAACTAGGAGGGGACCCCCATATGTTGTAGAGCACCCGCACCTTAGCCATCATCTAAAGGAGATGGTTCATAATTTCTTCACCCACAGTCTGGCATTGAGTCAGGTCCTTTTCAATCTTCCTGCAGAAGATGTTTGGCATTATTTGGGGGAAAGGTGCTGACTCTTTATCACAGAGCAGCCCCGGTGGCCTGGAGAGTCGGTTCCTTTCGCAAATACCAATAGGCTGGATGGTGCGGTTGACCAGCCTCCTGGGCTGTGCGCCCTGAGGTGGTGGCAGAAACGGTTTCTTTATTAGACCCCCATCGTAAGCGTGAAAAACGGCGATGTAATGGCCTCCACCCTGTCTGTGTACATCCGTTTATTCATTCATTTGGAAAAAATCTGGATACTGTAGGATATGTTCATGTGTACATGTTCACATGGAAAGAGTTTTATAGTTTACGTTTTTCATGTAGTTTGAATGTTTTCCCAGGTGATTAAACACACAGGGAGAACAGGTTTTTTTCATGGCTGTTCTGATGACTTCCTTAGTATAATTGTTGGAAATGTACCTACCAGGTCCAAGGCAGTAACTTAGGGTGATATTTCCGGATTGTCTTTTGGAAAAGCTGTAGCAACTTATACGACAACCTGGGATGGATGAGCGTGGTCGTTTCTCTGTGCTCTTTCTAATACTGGAAGTTCCAATGAGGAAAAATACACTTACCTCAGCTTGCCGCCAGTGCGATCAGTAAGGACAGTGGCACCTCACTGTGCCTTTGGTTTGCATTTCTCTGGTGAGAAGTGATCATGGACTGTTTTTGATACTGTTAATTGGTGATTAGGAGATTTGTGTGGGTGAGTTTTTCAGTTGTTTCCTTGGATAAGGGGAGTGAAGGCCTTTAATTGGCGGGGTGCCCCCAGGTGGAATTTATTGAACCCGGATACTCTGACTTTTATAAAAAAAAAAATATATATATTTTTTATTGATTTCAGAGAGGAAGAGAGAGGGAGAGAGATATAGAAACATCAATGATGAGAGAGAGAAAGTCATCGATTGGCTGCCTCCTGCACACCCCTTACTAGGAATCGAGCCTGTAACCCCTGGCATGTGACCTTAACCGGAATCGAACCCTGGACCTTTCAGTCCTTAGGCCGACGCTGTATCCACTGGACCAAATCAGCTAGGGCCTGTCTGACATTTTTAGGCAAATTAAAAAAAAAAAAATCTTCACCTGAGGATATTTTTCATTTATTTTAGAGAGAAAGGAAGGGAGAGGGAGAGAGAGAGAGAAACATTGATCGGTTGCACCCTGTACATGCCCTGACGGATTCGAACCAGCAACCTAGGTATATGCCCTGACTGGGAATCGAACATGAAACTTTTTGGTGTATGGGATGATGCTCCAACCAACTAAGCCACCCCTCCAGGGCTCTGTCTGGCATTTTTTAATCCACCTGTTGGCGGTACACCCAGGGCTGTCCTGGACATGGTGTTACCACTTTGTTCCACCCAGTACCATTAGAATAGAAGTAGACTGGGTAGAAAGGTATTATACTCTGGCATTCATTTTTAGTTACAATCACAAATTATAATTAAGAGATTAATAATTAATTCTTACCTGAGCAGCTGCCATGTATTAGGCACCTTGCAGGATGGAGATAAAAGTAAGTCTCATGGTGATAGGAAGATGTAGCAACTAACGGGGCAATGGTGAAGTGCATGGGTTTCGGAGCCCGACTACCTGGGTTCAACTCCTGGCCCTGCCGCTTCGCTGCAGTGAGACCTTGGCCATGTTACTTGATTTCTTGGGTCCTCATTTTTTCCTCTGAAATAGTGGAGTCTGAATTCAGATCCATTACGCGAGCCTCCAGGGCCCTTGGTTCTAAGACACGATGATATTTTAGGGGAACGCACTTCTTCAGAGGGAGAAGGAGCCCTAAGACATGATGATATTTTAGGGTTTGGAGCACTGGCCTGCAAACCGAATGGTCAGGGGTTCGATTTCTGGTCAAGGGCACGCACCTTGGTCAGGGGTTCGATTTCTGGTCCATGGTTGGGGCTCAGGGCGTGTGTGGGAACCAGCCATGGTCGGGGCTCAGGGTGTGTGTGGGAAGCAACCAATTGATGTAATTCATGTGTCTCTCTCACTTCAGTCTCTCTCTCCCTCTCCCACCCTCCCCCCCTCCCTCCCTTCTTGTTTTCTACTCTATGGAAAACATAAAATTTAAAAGAAAAAGAGGGATAGGAAGTAATAGTATTTTTAGATTGTCAGTAAAATAGGGCAACACGGAATTAACTAATTGTCTGGATGGTGTGAGTAGAGATGCATAGACACTGAGCATGGCCAGTGGAGGCAGGTGGGCCGAGGCCAGACCACACCTGGTCTTGAAGGAACTGATCAGGTGTTTAGATTTCATTGTTAGTTTCTCAGTGTTGGCACTACTGACATTTGAGGCTGAAGGTTTCCTTGTTGTGGGGACTGTCCTGTACCTCTTAGCTCCCCTTGCAAACCACGCTTCCCTCCCTCCCCTTGCCCCCAAATTCCTGGAGGTGTTGAACCTCCCTGGTAAAGAACCACTGGTATTAGGTCAAATCTATGTTTGTAGAGGGTGGCTCTGGCTGCTGACTCTATGTGGGGAGTGGGAGCTGGTAGATGTTCCAGGAGAGATGGTGGTGGCTTGGGCTGGTGGAAGTGTTGGGGTTGGTGAGAGATAGTTCCTATTGTGTGACTTTGTTTAACTAATGTTATTTTCCAACATCGTCTTGCATTTCTCGAGGGCCTAGAAGCCTAGGCCCCTGGGATGCCGCATGCTAACTTATTTCTGCTTTACAGATGAATGAAATCGAAGTATGTCCAGAGTGTTACTTAGCTGCTTGCCAAAAACGCGATAACTGGTTTTGCGAGCCTTGTGTAAGTTGGAGTTCCTTCCCTTCATTTTATGAACGCTGTGCCTGGATGACTACCCGAGACAGCTTTCGCTAGGTGGCTTACTCGACCAAACTTGGGGTGAAGTTTTTAAGTAATGTTTTTACTGAAAAAGTGATGGCAGAGTGAAAGCAACGCAGGTAGGAGAAACCTCTACGGCTGCTTGTCGAGAGAGCGGGGATTCGCCAAAGCGATGCAGATAGTGACACAGTGTTAAATGAGTGTGTCATTCCGAATCTATTTTAAGAGGATTAAGTCCATGGTCACCCAAATGCGGCGGTGGTGGGGGAGTCAGGGGAGAAAGATCACCCTTGTTTCCCTGTGGTTCTGCGTTTACCAAACTGGTCTTCTGTGTAGAGAAATGCAGTTTTGGAGCGGGCTGGCCGCGGTGGAGTATGCTGGGTGGGGGTGGGGGTGGTGGTGGCAAGATTGGGCAAGTAAAGTGAACAGTGAAAACACAGTTTATGTCTCTCCCTGCCCTTGGAGATTAACACCTGAATCGTTAAGGGTTTGAGTAGCCCTCCATAAAGAACAAAAGAGGCCAATACTGCCCCTCATTCCATGCTAGATACACCCCACGTTTAATCCTCCACCGTAACAGAGGCTGTAAGTGCTGCAGTCTCTGAGTTGCACAGAAAGGTGGGATCTTGCTCAGGGCCACCCAGGTAGTCACGGCACAGCCAATTTTCAAGCCCCGTTTTGTCAGTGCTCCGTTCTTGGTTTCACCATTTACCCCCGTTCCCATCTTCGCCCAGGCCTACTGGCCACACCGCCCAGGGAACACCACCTGGGAGACTGTCTGGAACAATTCTCTTCCAGTTTGTGGCCTCTGTCCCCTCTGCTTCGCTTTATCCGCACACACCACGCTGTATGTCTGTCTCTTGCTGTCCAATACATGCAGACTCTGGATTTTGTTTTTCTTTTCCTAGAGCAATCCACATCCCTTGGTCTGGGCAAAACTGAAGGGGTTCCCATTCTGGCCTGCCAAAGCTCTGAGGGATAAAGATGGGCAGGTGGATGCCCGGTTCTTCGGACAACACGACAGGTGGGAGTTAAAAACGGGCTGCAAACGTGTAGCTCGCGCTGAACCTTTGATACGGTCAGTGGGTACGAGGAGGAGCGGACGGGATGGCTGTCGTTTTGTTGATTGTCATGATACCCACCGGGGATCTTGTAGTTTAAAAGTCCTGTTCTGTGCTGTGTCGGCCCTGGGAATAATGCATGGGCTTCAGCCTTTTCAGGTACATGAGAAGAGAATCTTGCTTTCGTGCTTTTCTTGATGAAACCAGCACCAGAATAAGGTTCCATGGTTATTTCAAACACTGCTGTTCTTTTTATTTTTATTTTTCCTGGAGTAAATCAAACCGTTGTGCAAATTGGTTTTCAAAATAATGCTCTCCGTGATCAGAAGCATTTTCCCAGGTTACCAGTAAATGGATCTCCTATCACTGTGCTGGGTAGCGCCCTCCCCCCTCTCCCCCTTTTCTTTGAGGCTAAATGAGAAATGATAAGGGGTGACTGTTTGGGCAGGTGTGAGCCCTCCCTCCCAGCCTTTCTGCCTTCCCCTCGCCCACTGCGAAGGGAGTTATTCCAGTGACTAGCAGTTCCCTTTAGAGCACAGCCCCCTGCGGGCCTGAGAACCACAGGTGGACGGAGATGAGCAGCAGTTAATATCTTAGCTCTACTTTAGCGAGTTAAGTTATGATTAAATAAGGCAAAAGCCCTTTGGAAGCCCCACCGAGCCGCTTGACAAAAGTGTGAGTGTGTCGGGGAGAATATGTAAAAGACATCATGCTGACTATTACACACAGCCACAGAATGTACAGACTGTGCGGTTTATGATTTCGTACGACACCGGAATCTGCAATACCCCTCTCTGTTAAATTTTGCTTATCGTCTTGCAAGTCAAAGAAAAGAGTGAATACCAAAGTAATCTACAAAATCATTCACTAGGAACCCAGGCCGTCCAGTGTCAGGAGGCGAAATGGAAGTTAGCCGAGATGATCGTGGGTTTGATAGGAGGTATTACCCTTTATTTGATTTTGACCGTTTCTGTTGGAACTCTCTTAAAAATTCATTTATTTGTTCACTCAAAGAAAAATGTATTTGGTGCCTGCTGTGGGCCAGGCTGTGTGCTGGATGCTGGGGCTTTAGGATTGGGTAGGCAGACAGCACTGTGTCCGCCCATCAAGAGGGTGGCATCCTAGCGGGGAAGACTGATAATACACAAGTAAACAAACAGGTACGATGCTCTCAGGTCAGGCGGGGGCGGTGTGGCCCAGGGAAGATCTGGGTAGAGGGGGCCAGAGAGAGCAGAGACGCGGGCGCGGAAGGGCCAAGGCCCATTGTGCTCGGGGGCAGCCAGGAGCACGGTGTGGTTGGAACAGGATGAGGGAGGAGAGGTTGATAAGACGTGGGGTTCGGAGGTTGGGCAGGCCCCGGATCACATGGGCTGTTGTCAGGAGTCTGGCTTCTATTTGAAGAGCGAAAGGCATTGGTGGCAGGCTGCAGGCCTTCCTGCCTCTTCCTTAGAACATCCACGTGTTAACCGCCTTGATGGTTTGGGATTATTCTTGTTCTCCAGTGTGACGTAATCTGGGTAGACTTAAGATACAGGCCCCTATGCACCAAGTGTTCCCAGACCCCTGGGATCTGCTGTCCGCTGAGCCACTCTGCATGGACGCCCCTTGAAGGTGGCTTAGGGGCATGAACTTTGCTGGCTCTAGAGGCTGTTTTTTTAAAAGACAGCAGCACAAATCTGATTAGATTTTCTTGAGCTCCCTTGGTGTCCTCTGTCCCCTCAGAGGGAATATGCTGAGCTGTTGGGCTCATTTTCGGTGAGGAACATGCATTGGGCAAGGTGTTTGGACACGCACAGTGGCGGAGTGGCCATATGCTGGCCTTGTAGGAATGTGTCAGTTAGCCTTGGGCAGGGAGTCCCTGACTGCGGTGGGGGAAGCCACTCCTTCAAGGATGAGCACCCCTCCCTCCCCTGAGGTGATGCCTTTAAAGCATAATGGGGCCACTTTGTCCACAGCTGGCTCTTATCAGACCCAGGAACAGGACGGGGAGACTGCAGGGAGGCTGCAAGGCGGGTAGCATGCTGTCCCTTTTACCGGGAGTTTGCTTTCGGGGATGTAGAGCCAAAATGTGAGCCTGGACAGGTGTCAGTGAAATGGGCCAAGACAGCAGAATAGAAATATTACAGACTGTTACCTGGTCACCGTCAGGGTAATGAATCCTGGAGCCGGGGGAGGCTCTTCTGCCAATCAAGGCATGTTCTCAAGTGTCTCATCACGTGCCTTTTGTCCTTTAAAATATTTTCATTTCACCCGGCCGGTTTTGCTCAGCGGTTGAGCATCAGCTCATGCACCAAGAGGTTGCTGGTTCCATTCCTGGTCAGGGCACATGCCCAGGTTTTGGGCTCGTTCCCCAGTACAGGGTGTGCAGGAGGCAGCCCATCGATGTTGATGTTTCTCTCTCATCGATGTTTTTATCTCTCTCTCCCTCTCCCTTCCTCTCTCTCTAAAACCAGTTAAAATATACTTTAAAAAAACCAAACACACAACTTTAAATGCTATTTTAAAAAATTATTAAAATATATTTTGATTTTTTTTCAGACACACAGTATTATGTAAAAATATAGAAAATATCTTATTAAATTCCTGCAGAGGTGGCATTAACTGAGGGCCAACTATGCAGCAGGCACTGCTTTAAGTGCTTTCTATAAAAGTTGCTTTTATCCCCATTTCGCTGGTAAGAAAACTGAGGCCCAGAGCTAGGAAGAACCTCAGCTGTGGCCTCACAACATTGCCCCCACAGGCTGTTGTATTGTTAAGCAAATCTAATTTTCCTTTAAATATCTCCTGGGCCTGCTTAAAGGAACAGAAACAGTCATTTTCCAGAAATCACTTGCCAAGCAACTTCATTGAAGGCACTTAAGAACCTGGGAAGAAACAGGTAAGGCCCTAATACCAGATGACAGTGTGCGGGAAACTCGGTCCCAGTGACCGACTGGCTGACCAGCTCCTGGTGGTGCCGGGACTGGGGCATTCTGTTTGCTCCCCTTAGTACCCCTCCAGCTTGGGGCTCCTCCTCTGTTTTACTGATGGCAGCGCTGAGGCTGGCTCAGGGACGGGGAGTCCCTTGTCTGCAGACAGCCCTGGGAGCCTGACCACTCCGCAGGTCTGTCCCGCCTGGTCCAGACCCTTGCCCACCAGTGGTAATGCTTGGAGTCTAGGTCATTCTGCCTGACTTGCAGGTGTGGTTCCTCAGGTCTCAGCATGGAAGCAGCAGTGAGCTGGGATGGACGAGAAGCTGTCATTTCCAGCGCTCTGAGAGCAGATATTGTAGGGGTGGTCAGGTTTAGTGGGTGTGGCAATCTAGCACCGCCAAGCGTTGCAAACAGGCAGCCTGTGCCCTGAATTCTGCCCCATGCACATGCTGTATTTCCCCTGGGCTGCTTTTTCTTTTAAAAATAGGAACGAGATGCCAACCATTAAAATTTGGGTAGAACATAGTAGAAGTTCCTGTTTTGTTTCTCTTTGAAGCCTTGGGAGGCTCGGTAGTGTGGGGCTGACTCTTAGAGGGGCACTTCTGATAGCACTCGGGGATGGTATTTGCATCAGACTGGCCGTGAGTTTAATTCCTCCCCACAGTTGACTTGGCTTCCTACAGCGTGATACCAGGCTTGGGTTGATGGTCTGTGAAAGCCAGGAGGCCTCCTTGGAAAGCTCACTCCCACCAGATTCCCAGCTGCAAATGGTTGAGGTTGGGGAATAAAATGTGACCCAAGTTACAGCTTGGATGTTTCTGTGTCAGCTCTGCCTTCCCCAGGGCAGGGGGGTTGTGTGCCCATCTCCTGCTGATGTCACTCGGGTCACTGATTCCAGGAAAGCAGCTCATGTTCCCATGAAGTCTCTGCAGAGCCCACGGGGGTGTGGGGTGTTGACGGTAGGGAGGTGGAACCCGCCTGGGAAGCGGAGGGCACACACCTGAAGGCTAAGTGAGGGGCTGGTTTCTCGTTATTTTTCATGCGAACTATCTCACGTTCAAAGCCATGTACCTCCTTTTAGGGTTATGGCTTTCCAACGTTCCCTCCTTGCTCCATGGAGAACCCCGGTTTTTAAATTCATTTTTTTTATTGTTTAAAGTATTACATATGTCTCTTTTCCCCCAATTGACACCCCCCCCCCACTCCCTTCCCCCAGAGAATCCCAATTTTAAAAGAGAAAACTTTTCATTGTTTGAGTGCAAAATAGTGAGCTCGGGGAGTAATTTTCTCTTGGGAGGTGTGGTCTAGGATGCAGTGACTGTCTTCTTATTCTCTACCAACCCAAAGCCAAAGGGGCATTATTATTTTTTTTTTTATGGATTAAAATGTCTAAGTCTATTGAGGCTTTTAATGTTTTTGTTAAGTTCATGTTCACGTTCAGTCCTGATGACATAACGTGTGTTAAGTGGATTGTTTATTAACCATTCAAACCAAGTCATTTATAAAAGAAAAGGAATGTGCCTTTACGAATCTTGGCAAGAATACTAGGCTAATTGGGTTTGTGTTCAGGAAAAAAACAATTCTGAAACCGACCTGAATGTTGCATTGACTGATGAATGAATAAGGGAAATGTTGTATGTATACATAGTGGAAGACTATTCAGCCTTAAAAATTATGCCACAACATGGCTGAAACTGGAGGACAACATGCTAAATGAAATAAGCCAATCATATAAGGACAAACACGGCATGATTCCATTTTTATATGAGGAATCTATGTCAGATTCATAGAATCGGTGGCATCATGGTTGCCAGGGGCTAGGGGTGGGCAAATGGGGAATTACTAGTCAATGGGCATAAAGTTTCAGTTACACACTATGAATACGCTCTAGAGATCTGCTTGCTGTACAACCTTGTGCCTATAGCCAGCAATTCTGTGTTGTACACTTACACGTTGGTTAAGGCGGTAGAACTCCTGTTAAATGTTCTTAACCACAACGAAGTAAAGGTTTTTAAAAAGTTACATAAAAATCTTGGAAATGACCAAAGTCGACTTAAAATCTCTCTCTCTCTTGCCCTCCTAGAGCCTGGGTTCCAATAAATAATTGCTACCTCATGTCTAAAGAAATTCCTTTTTCTGTGAAAAAGACTAAAAGCATCTTCAACAGTGCAATGCAGGAGATGGAGGTTTATGTGGAGAACATTCGCAGGAAGTTTGGGGTTTTTAATTACTCTCCGTTCAGGACACCCTACACGCCCAACAGCCAGTACCAAATGCTGCTCGACCCCAGCAACCCGAGCGCTGGTGCCGCCAAGATAGACAAGCAGGAGAAGGTCAAGCTCAACTTTGACATGACGGCGTCCCCCAAGATCCTGATGAGCAAGCCCATGCTGAGCGGGGGCACCGGCCGCAGGATCTCCTTGTCGGACATGCCGCGCTCCCCCATGAGTACAAACTCGTCCGTGCACACGGGCTCCGACGTGGAGCAGGACCCCGACAAGAAGGCCATGTCCAGCCACTTCAGCGCAAGCGAGGAGTCCATGGACTTCCTGGACAAGAGCACAGGTCAGCACCGGGCGGGAGAGGGTGGAGAAGGCCCCCGGGATTTCCACAGCTTCCACACCTGGTGGGCCAAAGCTGACCACTTCGCAGAACCACGGGGAGCCTTGTGGGGTTTCATTCTAGTGCAGTGGTTCTCAACCTTCCTGATTCCGAGACCCTTTAATACAGTTCCTCATGTTGTGGTGACCCCCAATTTCATTGTTACAAATTGAACATAATTAAAGCATAGTGATTAATCACAAAAACAATATGTAATTATATATGTGTTCCGATGGTCTTAGGCGACCCCTGTGAAAAGGTTGTTCGGCCCCCAAAGGGGTCGCGACCCACAGGTTGAGAACCGCTGTTCTAGTGGGATGAGTGACGAAGCTGGATCCTTGCTGTTGGGGACCAAAAAATGACAAAAGCACTCCCAGCAGGCCAGCTTGCAGGTCATTCCTAGAAGTGGGCAGAGATGGTTAGAAATCCTTCCGGGATCAGCTCAAATGCCCCTTAGATTAATCACAGCAACTTCCCGTAACGGTTTTTCTTTCTCAAGAATTTTATTTTAATTGAAACATGTTTCTGTCAAACCCATGCACTTACATCATTTAAGGCCTAAACATCAGAGAAACATGCAAGGTAAGCAGTACTCCTCTTTCCCAAGGACTGTCCACGCCTCCGAGGTCACCTGGTTTAACAGCTGCCTTGCGTTTTGAGACTTGCTGTAGCTGAGGGGTTCAGAAGGAGGATGCTGGTCTCAGATTCCAGTTCGGCCCCTCCTCCCTGTGTGGCATTAGTCAGGGTCCCTGAGCTCTTATGCCTTCGTCTCCGCATCTGTAACGTCGTGATAGGAATAGGATCTGCCTCGTAGGATCTTATAAGGATTAAATGTATCAAAATACACAGAGGCTTAGAACAGTGCCTGGAGTAGGAAATGCTTCAAAGATATTGATGACCATATTATTTCTTATGGCTGCTGATCAGATGCCTTTGTTCTAGGACACAGTAACTTGTGTTGACATAGTTTCCGAAAAAAACTTCCCTTTTGCCCTTTAGTTTCTGACCAGAGTCCTTAAAAGCTTCCTCTTATTCCACGACACGATTCCACTTAAGCCCAGTTAACAGAACACGGTGCATAATTACATACCGCGCCGCCCCCCCCCCTCCCCGCCCCCCGCTGGTTCCCAGGGAGAGCTCGCTTTTGAGAAAGTGTTTTAACCTCCGGGAAGAGTCGCTGTTGCCTGAACTTTCATTGCCATGATTTTTGCCACGTTCTAGACCACCTCTTTTATTACATTCTTAAATATGAAACCTCCAACGTAGCTTCATCCTAAGCTGGATAAAATGTATACACTCACGTGTTTACATTGCTTGTTGTATTTTTTCCTAAAATACACGAAATGAATACATAACTTGTCATATCACACCTGTAGGGCCATGAACCCACTCTCCGTTCTCCTGCACCGTATTTCAGAAAAAACAGTTTCAATGTGTTGACTGTAGCGTCTTTCTTCCCTTGGGTGGTACAGAGGTCGAAATGACATCAGAAGTCCTGGCAAAATTCCCGATCATTTGCGTAGCGTTTTAGGTCCTGCGTTAGCAGACTTTAAAGTCCTTCTCCCAAACTGCGATCCCCTTGCTGGTGTGGGCTTGGGGCATTTGGCTGATCCTGAGTTGTACAGCCAGTGAGAAGTTCAGGGAGAGAAGGTGATACTCAAAATTGTTTTCATCTTACAAATTGCCCCCTTTTCTGTAAGGAGCCCGACAGAAAATATGTTAGGCTTAGTGAGTCTCTGTCACAACCGTGTAACTATTCAACACGGTCATCGTTACTAACCCAGCCATAGACAGTAGGTGGCTGTGACACTAAAGTGTGACTTTCATATAATTTGTATGCTTAGTGAACTATTAATCCTTTTGATTTCCCCTCCACCCCACTGCCCCAACCATATAAAAATGGTAAAAACCTTCTTAGCTTGCAGGCCATACAAGAGCAGGTGGTATGCTGGATCTGGCCCGTAGCTTGGTTTGCCAACCTCTGTTGTATAGACTAAGAGAAGCTGATTCAGTCTCCCCGTTTTACAGAAGGCAAGTTGAGGTCCCTAGGAGAGTGCGGGGGAGGTGCCGAGGTCCCGGCGCCCCATCCTGACTCTAGAAATGGCTAGTCTGGTTTTCTTTTCATTGCACTCTACTGCCCTCTGCTGTTTGCAGTGACAAGAGCATTTATTGGAAGAAGTGGACTAGTTACTGAAATGTTCCCATAGTCAGACAAGACTGATTTATCCAAAATTGTGTAAAAAAAAAAGTGCCATAGGAACAGAAAAACCATATAGTTACAGCAATGAAAAAATTTTAAGCAGCAACATAAAATTGAAATAAATTGTTAAATAAAACTTGTATGAGAATTTAGAAACCCTTCTTTTTTGCGAGGGGAGAGGGTGTGTGGATTGAGCTCAGAATCATGTGTCTGTGACCTTAGAACTGGATTTTTGAGAAGCACTTTGTGCGGCCAAAAGCCTTCTACTGGAATCCCATTGTCTTAATGGTCAAAGTGGTTTATATTCTCAGTGATTTTATTTATTTATTTATTTATTTTGCTTCCCCCTTTCTTTAGACCTCATGGCCAGAATTGATGCCTTTGTCAATATTTGCTTGTGGGATCCCAATTTAAGTCGTTAATATGTTTTAGGATGAGAATCCGGGGGCCTGTGAGCTAAAGGTCCTTTGGTCTTATAGCTCTATATGGTTACTGCTTAAGGAGAAGGAAAAACATGTTCATAAACTCCTTTATATTGTGGAATCAATATATTTTTATAAAACAACTGTTATTTACGAAGACGGAAGTCACAGACGATACCACCTACCACAGTCAGCCCTTAGCTAGTTTCCAGGACTCTCTCCATGTTGGTTCACGTCATACTATTACTTTGGAAACTCAAATACATCCAGAGGTCAGGCTGGTGTAGAAATGAGAGGCTGGGAAGTGGTAGGGACTGGGGTGAACTGAAGCAGAAATACACCTTATCATGACGCATTACACGTACACACGTGTGCTTGTGTGTGCAGCTCTCCCCAAAGCAGTGCAGTGTCTACAACCCGATACGTGATATTCTGAGCCATCCCTTTTTCCTAAAGGGCATTGGGGCCTTTTCCTCCTCCTGGTTAGAGCCACGTGGGAATGGGGGCTGAGTGTTGCCAGATTTCTGGTTGTTCAAGAGAAGTTTCAAATATTTTTTTAAATGCAAACTACCCAGACTTTTATATATTGGCTCATTTATTTATTTATTTATTTTTTTAAAAAAATATATTTTATTGATTTTTTACAGAGAGGAAGGGAGAGAGATAGAAAGTCAGAAACATCGATGAGAGAGAAACATCGATCAGCTGCCTCCTGCACATCTCCTACTGGGGATGTGCCCGCAACCCAGGCACATGCCCTTGACCGGAATCGAACCTGGGACCCTTCAGTCCGCAGGCCCACGCTCTACCCACTGATATATTGGCTCATTTAAAAACAACAAGAACAACAACAACATGCTAGGTCACACACATCCGTGCACTACTTGATGTATGCATCACCTGTTTGCAATGTCTGGTGTAGACTGTTGGAGTTTTTTTTGTAACTTAACCTGTGTTCTGAATGCTTTTTCATGCTAGTAAATGACCCTTCAACACAGCATTTCTGTCCTGTCGTAGGACCGTCCCGTGATGTTCTGCCGTGTGGCTCATCCGTGCACACCGCCAGGACTTGTGAACACATAGGTTGTTGACGAGGTTTTATAAGCAGAGGAAATTTAGCACGAATCAGTCCCTCCTTCACCCTCACCCCACCTGGAGGGCTGGGGTGCGCGGGAGGGAAGGGCCTTTTTTTCTAACTCAATTCTAAGACTCCCGTTTCATGTAGTCAGAACAGCACTTAGCACAGGCTACGATTTTGTCAATGCAGACAATAGATGATGTGCTTTAGCCCACACTCGTAAATTGCACATCAAAGTATAAAATCTTATTAAGTTATTGGTGACTTCAAAGGCTAATCGTTTCTCCTTTGGGCAGTATTTATGGCTTTATAAAAGGATTGGCATCTCTTTCAAAGCTTAATTGGAATGAGCATTTCCCAATGTCTTTCTGCTTGTGAAAATGCCTAGAGTGATTCCAAACAGGGTTTCTCAGTCTTGGCACTGTTGACAGTTTGGGCCGGATGACACTGTTGTGGGACTGTCCTGCACCCTGTAGGTTGCTTAGCAGCATCCCTGGTTCCTACCCATGAGATGCCAGCAGCACACCCTGTCCACAATTAGAACCCCCCAAATGCCTCCAGACATTGCCACATGTCCCTGGGGGCACAGTCACCCCTCCACTCCCCATTGAGAACTACTGATCTAATGCACCACATTTCCGAATTTTAGCTCTGACAAAATTCTCATGGCTTCACATTAATCTTTGAAACTCTTCAATATTTATTTAATTTTGTCTCACTTTTTTCTTGAACATAATATTATATATCTAATAGCACATCTTTGTACCCTAAGAGATGGTAACTATTAGGAATTGGCTGTTCCTTCAGGTATGTTTAATGTATATCATCACATTGATGATGATAATTATTTTGTGGTAGAATGGGATCATACTAAGCTTTTTGCTTCTTTCAACTTCGCGATATTTCTTTGGCTTCTTTCTATGTTAGTGTATATAGTTCTAATTGTCAGTAGTATATAGATTGTACGTGAATGTGACAAGTGTTGGGGGTCAGAACTGAATTTTGGGAGATACTCCTTGGTTTTATGAAGTAATGTGAATGCAGATGTTTTAAATGGATACACCGATTTGTTATCTACATCCTTGCTAACTTTCTGATGTCCAATGTTGTAGGCATTTTGGCCAGCCTAGTATTTAACATGTTTCTCTAGATGGCCTCATACAAAACCAGAATAACTTTCAAGAGCCTATCTATTCATCTTCACTGGAGTCATACGATTGTGGTACTTTTTCTTTATTTACGTTTTTCTGTGTTAGCGTACATTTTCAAAGATTTTGAAGGCCATTCCCGTTGCAGCATGCATCAGCTTGGCATTCCTTGTTGTGGCCCAGGAACGTCCCATCGTGGCTGTACCACAGTGTGTTGATGGGCATTCGGGTTGTTGCCACCTTTGGGCTCTTGCGAACTATGTTGCTCTGAACATTTGTGTACAAGGGTTTGATTGCGTACCTGGGAGCGGACCTTCATGAAATGTACAGGGATTGTCTATCTGTTTGCTGCATGATTTCTCTACTTTATACATAAAGTGTAAGGTTTTTTTCATCTTCTAAGAACTACTCTTTGCCCCTTGAGGGCATATTGCCCCTGTTGGGAATGCCTGGACTGGGGTGATAGCAGTGGAAATGGCAGTCAGTGGAGGGGTTGGCGGTATAGTTTGGAAGTGGCGTGCAGAGGCCTGGCTGAAAAGTTGGCTAAGTTGAGGCAGGAGGAATTGGAACGGCCTTGGGCAGCCTGGTGAGTGTGTGTAGCATTAACTGAAAGGGGTTGGGGCAGGTACAAGGTCTGTCACAAATCGGGCAGGTGGCACTCAGGGGTGGACATCGGCTCTGGCTTTTTCAGGGCTAGCTTTCAGGGACCTGTGGGTTGCTAAGTGACTCAGGCACTGCCCCTCTGTCAATGGCATGAAGCAAGCGGTTCTAGATACCTAGATGGGCCTACCCTCCACTGCCGAGTGGAGAGTGAAGCATGCTTGTCTCCATGGAAACCAGTGTTCTCCCATCACCCTTATACTTGGCCGGGTTCAAGTGCTCTGTTTAAAAAAACACTTAAAAGTTGTTTTTTGCCCTAGCCAGTTTGGCTCAGTGGATAGAGCATCAGCCTGCAGACTAAAGGGTCCTGGGTTGGATTCCGGTCAGTGGCACATGCCCAGGTTGTGGGCTCAATCCCCAGGAGGGGGCGTGCAGGAGGCAGCCAATCAATGATTCTCTCTCACCATTGATGTTTCTATCTTCCTCTTCCTTCCTCTCTGGAATCAATAAAAAATGTATTTTTAAAAAACGTGTTTCTTAAACCCCAAGACTGGAACTTTATTATCAAAGGAAACTTTATATGTCTGTGAAATTAAAGGCTTGTTCCAGTTATTTATTTATTTTTTACTACACACTTGCACCTATGCATGCACACACACACACACACACACAGAATTATATTGATTGATTTTAGAGAGAGAGAGGAAGGGAGAGAAGCATTGATTATTGGTCCATGTATTTATGAATCCATTGATTGCTTGTATGTGCCCTGAGCAGGGATCGAACCCGCAACCTTGGTATATTGGTATGATGCTGTAACCCATTGACCTGCCCGGCTAGGGCCACACAGAATTATAAAGCTCATGGCTTTACCTTGTGTTGATGCTAAAATCCTCTGCATGACCACAAGTGGGGCAGGGCTTCGTTAGGCCGCTGCCTGGCCTCTCCTTACATTTTTAACTCAACCTGTTAGGCAGGGAACTGTGGATTTACGTGGTGGAGGTCTCTTGTGACAGTACCTTGGCGTGGGATTTTGTTCCTGTTCCTTTTAGGGTCAGGCTTCTTGGCAAAGTTCCCCACAGTCCTCAGGAGCGCTTTGGCAGCGTGCTAAGCGAGCCCCCTCTCTGCTAGGCCGGCTTGTTCGTTCGTTTTAGAGCAGTGGTCGGTCGCCAACGGGTGGTCCGTGGGGTCCGTGGGGTCCGCGAGGTCCGAAAGGTGGCGACGGCTGTCAGAGAGCACAACTCGAAAAGCCTGGTCTGCAGCCCTCGTGGGGAGGGCATTCGACCGATCCTTTCAGCCACCGGAAATCTCTTGGAAGCGGGGGGCGCATAAGTGAGTGGATTACTTAAAAACAAAACCAAAGAAACATCCCAACACTAAAGGTTTTATTGGAAATATTGAAATCTTTTAAAATGTCTTTAACTTCATTTATTCCTGTTGGTTTAGGTAACAAGCACTTTATTTCCGCTTGTTATCCTAGCAGTGGTGAGAGGAGCAGGGTTAGTACCAGTAATAACAACAGCCCTCAGAATGCAGAATGCGGGGCCAGGTATTCGTTCATTCTTACAGTAAAACTGATTGAATTCAGTCTTCAAATGAGCTGAGTCCTCACAATGGTTTCGAATGTTTCTTGAGCACTCGCTCAGCCCAGGTGACCTGCTCCCCACCTCTGCTCCTCATTTCCGGGGGAGGCGAAGGAGTCCCAGAGACACAGCTGCGGTCCCTGTGTGGGCGCATCAGTTCAGCACTTGTTGGCATTTGGGGCCAAGATAGTTCTTCTTCAGGGACGCTGTCCTGAATCCTGTAGGATGTTAGCCGTATCCCTGGTCTCTACCTCCTGAGGTGCCTGGAGCACCTTGTCTCCTGGTCTGACAACTAAAAACATCGGCAGACACTGCCCTGTGTGCCCTGGAGGAGAACTGCGGGTTTGGATGATTGAAACCGAAGCCCCAGAGGTGAAGGGGAAATAGAAACTACTACTACACTAAGAGCAGGCGATGCACAGGGTAGTACTTAACAGATGCCAGACAGCTGTCCAGATGACTGACTTGGTCCTTACAACTTGATGAGTGTAGGGACTTTCACCCTCCCTTTGTAGGTGTTGTTAGTATTCCTCTTGGCTGCTGCCAGGAGAGGAGATTCAGAGACAAGGTAACGTACCCAAAGTCACACAGCAAGTCGCGCAGAGCTGGGACATGCACTCAGTGTGGCTTCCAGTCCATGCCTGAGTCCATCCATTTCTCTGCATCTAGAGTCTCTCCCACTGTCTTACGTTCAGTGCAGCGTTGGCAGGTCCTGGCGCTGGAGATGAGGTGACCTCAGGTGCATTGGTGTATCCGTTACTGACGCTCACTCTGAGCGTGCCCATTTGGCAGGTGAGGAAATGGAGGCACCCACCCACGTAAAGGAGGGTAGTTGATCAGTGTCTCATCACTCCATCGGGGCTGCATTTAGCTCCCGTCAGCATTGCCCCTGTGACGTGGGAGTCCCGAGCTCTCCTGAGGGGTCCAGTTGGCCTTTGGCAGGTGCGGTAGCTGTGAGGCCCACCCCTGCGTCTCCCACAAACGGGTGACATGCCATCTGCAAGCCTGGCTCTGGTCTCTGCTTTAAATTGCTATTTATTTTGAGATTTTTCACACCCATGAATGGGCCAAACCAATTTCAGTGGCAGCTTAGCCGATTTGTCTTAGAGCTTTGTGTCTAATAGAATAACTGGGAGGCCTCCTTCCTGTGTGGCCGAAATGGTTTAACATGGGGAGGAAGTCCTTCGCTTTGAAACCAGTGGCCGGCCCTGCCCACTGCCCCCTGCTCTGGTGCCCTGCTGGAATCAAATACAGTTTCTCCGCTCTGGCCCACCCCACACCTACCTACAAGTCTGATTTGTTTATTTCTTCGTGACTCTGTCCTTTAACAAGTGCCTTATCTTTTCAGCGTCGCCGGCCTCCATGAAGACGGGCCAAGCGGGGAGTTTATCCGGCAGCCCGAAACCTTTCTCTCCTCAAGCGTCCACGCCAATCACGACGAAAGCAGACAAGACGGCCACCACCGGAAGCATCCTGAACCTTAACCTGGGTCAGTGGGGATTTTTGGAGTCTCTTGCTGGGGCACCTGCATATTTTTGCAGGTTGTGATGCCCTCTTTGGTGTGGTTCTTGAACTCTGAACTCGCTGAGTAAACCGTGTAAAAGGTAAAGTAGAGGAACATGAAGATTGGTCAATAAAAGGGACAAGTGGGGGTTTCCTGGGGGCTGTTGAAGTACCTTAGGCCAGTGTTTACAGCCGTACTTGCCCTTGACCATGGTCACCCAGTTCTCACATGTAAATATATACACTTGAAGTTATATGTGTGTGTGCGCGCGCATATCGAGTATTACGAATCAGTATTTACCTTTTCTATGTGCAGTATATTCTTAGGTCAAAGTCTTTAGCAGAAATTGGCATTGGAAATGTTAATTACCTAACTTCCTGATTCATTCCACCGTTTCCTAGTTTTTACTGAGCGTCTGTCATGTGCTGTGTAAGGTGTTAGCATGGGGTACGGCGTTGGCATGGGGCAGAGTGCGGGGAGGAAGCTTGGATTCTAGAACGGGACAGAGAATCATCAAGGTGGATAAACAGGACAGTTCATTCCGGAAGGAAAATGTGTTGATATGATAAGGAGAGAGATGGGCGGGGTGGAGGTGGGGAGAAGAGGCAGTGGTTCAGGGGGTGGAAGGGTTAGGGAAGGCCTATTTGAAGGGGGGAGTTGCATGACAGGAAAAACCAGTCGTGCCAGGACCAGGAGGAAGAACATTCCAGAAGGAACAAGAACGTTACAGGCCCGAGGGTAAGGATGAGCTTCGTGTGTGAGAGGAGGGGCAAGGAGGCCCAGGTGGTGTCCCGTGGCTGACGGGAGGTTAGGAGGTGAGGTTAGAGAGCACGGGGCCTGAGGACCCTGGATTGAGCAGTGCAGGATGTGAACTGACTGAGGAGTTCAGAAGGACTCTTGGCTGCTGCGTAGACCAGCCCATTCTGCTGTTCGCAAACCCGGCAGTTCCTCCCTCCCCTAAGGGCTACTTCCAGGGTCTGGAGACATTTCTGGTTGTCACCCCTGGGGGTGGGGGGTGCTGCTGGCCTCTGGTGGGTAGAAGCCAAGGTGCTGTTGACCACCCTACAGTGGATAGTAGGCCGCCACAGCCAGGAATTACTGGGCTGTGCCAGTAACTGTGTTGACAGATTGGATGTGGCAGGAGAAATAGGAGCCAAGGGTTCAGTTTTAGGTTTGTATGTTTGGTGCCCTGAGGCCAGGTCGAGGCAGGAGGTGTCATTCGGAGAATCTTGATTATACGCGGGGTGGGCTAGAGCAGTGGTTCTCACAGAGCTGGGCAGGGGGTGCCTGCTACTGGCATTGAGCGATTTAGTGATTGCAGATCAGGGACGCTGTTATACAGCCTACGCTGCCCAGGAAGCCTGCCCCCACACCCCAACCCCCCAGCAGGGAATGATCTCATCCCAGTGGCGGTAGTGCTGAGATGAAGACCCTGGCCTAGGGCATAAAGGGCGGGTGGGGGCCCTGGGACACGACCATGGAGACAGGTCAGCAGGAGGGCAACAGGAGCAGTGGACAGGAGCAAGCCGCCCTGTGTGTGTGGTCCCGGAGGCCTCGGGAACAGCTTTCGGAGGGTGCTCCAGCGTGACTATAGAGCCTGCGGTGGTCGGTGCCTTCCGGGTTCACCTTCTCCTGCAGTGCCCTTTCGGATGGAGAAACTGGGGTCTGAAGAGGTGGCTTCTGGTGTCAGGATGGCAGAGCCCGAAGGTGGCGGCAGGGCCGGGTCAAGCCTGTGCTCCATGGAGGCCAGTGCCCTGTGCACCCGGTCACCGTCAGGGCCACCCAGATGTGACTGACCAGTCGGGGGGATGTAGGGGCTCCAGTTCAGATTCACTGGTGGGAATCGCTCACTTGAACAAACAGGCGACCCGTTTGCTGCCTTGGGGAATAGTCACCTCCTCAGCAGTGTGGTTTGCTTTCTCATGCCTTCCTCCCACCTCCACACCCCGAAAAGAATTGCCGTGTGGAGGTGTTCTCACGGTCGCATTTCCTCTTTGCCAGCCATGCATGGCAAGAATAGCTCCTTCCTTAACCCAGGCGGACCGTGGGCATCCTCGTGACACGGGGACTTCCTGTTTGGCCTGACCCACCGTGGGAGTGCGTGGCTGCTTCCTGCCTGCGTTTGGGTGGGCGGGCACAGCGGGACCAGGCCTCTCCTGCCCACTGGGGGACACGGGCCTCATTTTGTCAGCAGGAGCGGAAGCCTTGGGGTGTGGGCGTTTTAGGGCTGGGGTTCCAATCACCTACTGGAAAGAGGATCAGAGAGGGATCCGTGAGAAGCGCCATGGGTGGGTTGAGAAATGGGAAAGTGGAAGGGGATGCGAAGTATTTTTCCAGGATCCCAGGGAGGGGATAAATGCTTATGGTGTTTCATTATGTCTATCATCTGTGTGACTACTTGGAGCAGACAGAAGTGCCAGGGATAATGATGACATTATTACATCTAACAAAATATTTAATTAAAAAAATTACACCGAGAAAGGCAAGCTTACAGGGATGGCAAACAGATCAATGATTGCCGGGGGTGGGGGTAGGGGACGGTTTGACTGCGATCTCAGAGGGTCGGGGCAGATGGAATTGTCCTGCATTCTGTTTGTGGTGGTGGTTCCACAAATCTCTGCCAGTGTTAGAACTCAGAACTGTATTCCCCAAAACGTGAATTTTACTCTCTACAGATGAAAACTACTCAAAGGCAGGTACTCGCCCCATTTCACAGAAGGCCCAGAGAAGGGAAGTTGCCTACCCAGGGCCACACATGGGTCCAGGTGAAGTTGGGCCTTCAGACTCAGGCCTGTTTTGCTGTGTAGCTGCAGCTCTTCACCGGGATACGGGAACTGAAATGCTTCAAGATGCGGCCCTGTTTTGACTTTCATGTGCCCTTGAAAGGGGTTGGGGGTAGAGTGATGATTCGGAATGGGGGGTCACACAGAGGAAGAGGTGCCTTTTTAAAGGAAGCAGCTCCTACCACTTGAACCTGTGTTGTCAGATTCTGAGTTTTCAGAAAAACAGAAATCCTGATTTTTGTGTGAATTCTCCTAGTTTTAAAAATGTGACGTCGATTTCATCAAAAATAAAAAGAACTCTACTCGGGCCAAATAAATACAACTAAAAATACGAAGAACCAGCCCATGGGTCGTCCGTGGTTGCTTAATTACTCTCATAGCTACTGGGCATGAGCGAGGGGAAGGTTTACGCAGACCGCCCTCAGCTGGCACACAGCCTCTCCTCTCAGCTCCAAACAAGGAGCCAAACAAACCCTGGAGGATTGTCACGGCCCCTCCTGTGGCTTAACTCGTCATCATAGTGAGGACGTGCTGGTGAGACTAGGAGAGAGAGGAGGCCCTGATTCTTGTCTGCATTCCGGTTCGCCTGGCCTGCGAATCCCTCATCCCTCATCTCTTATCTCACAGAGGGTGTCTGCTTGGGGCCGGACACACCCAGCAGTTCCGGGGCCTGCGAGTGACAAAATGTGCTTTGCTGCTCTCCCCACGGTGGGCGCCCGGCGCCGCCCAAGCAATGGAGCGTGTCTGCTTGTCTGTTCCTCCCGGTGGCTGCCGGGAGGCGTCCTTCCTTCCTCACCTAAAGCAGGGCCTTGGCAGCCAGGCATCTGAGAGCCGGATGCAGAGCAGGGCCTGGGTCTCCCAGAGGTGGTCTTGGTTTTTGTTTTTTGCAGTAAGTGCAGTGAGGAGGGTCTCTGCCTGGCTTTCACGGCCAGGAGACCATCTGCTGGGGTCTCCTGTCTGAATGTTGTTCCCCGAAGGACCAACATTTTGTGGCTCCTGGAAGTCCATCCGGTAGAGTCTCCCGGCAGCTTTGGAACAAAGGAGTTTTGTTTCGTTTTTTTCCCTTTTTTTTGTTTTAACTGAAAAAAGAAGTGGTTATATTTCTCTTTTAAAAAGCTTTATTGGTTTTGTTTTGGTTAATCCTCGCATGAGGACATTTTTTCCATTGCTTTTCAGAAAGAGTGGAAGGGAGGGAGGGAGGGAGGGAGGGGGAGAGAGGGAAAGAGGAACGTGGATGTGAGAGAGACATCGACTTGTTGCCTCCTGCACGTGCTCCGACCTGGGGGCAGGAGCGAACCCGCAACCCAGGTACGTGCTCTTGATCGGGAATTGGACCCGGGATCCTTCAGTGCTCAGGCTGCCACTCTAGCCAGGGTTCTCGTGTTTTTTTTTTTTTTTTAATATATTTTATTGATTTTTTACAGAGAGGAAGGGAGAGAGATAGAGAGTCAGAAACATCGATGAGAGAGAAACATCGACCAGCTGCCTCCTGCACATCTCCCACTGGGGATGTGCCCGCAACCCAGGTACATGCCCTTGACCGGTATCGAACCCGGGACCTTTCAGTCCGCAGGCCGACGCTCTATCCACTGAGCCAAACCGGTTTCGGCAGTGTTTTTATGAGCAGTGAATGCACACGGTGAGAGAAAGTTCACAGGACAGAACGATGTGGAATGAAAAGCCATCCTGCTGCAACCCTCTGATCACCTGCCTCTATACCCGCTCCTCACAGGTGACCGCTGTGTTTTAGTCGCTGTGGAGAGCTCGCCTAGATACATCCCAGTGGTTCTCAAACTGGGTGATTTTTGTCCCTCGGGCACGGTGCAATGTCTGGAGACATTTTTATTGCCACAACTGGGATGTGGGTGCTACTGGCACCTAGGGGTGGAGGTCAGGGTTGCTGCTAAACATCCTACAATGTGCAGGGCAGCCCGCCCTGCCGCTGCCCCCAACAGAGACCTGTCCGGCCCCAAATGTCTTAAGTGCCAGCATCGAGAAGCCCCAAGAACACAGGTGTATTCATATCTATCCTCCGTTTCCTTCTTTCTCCCCCACACCAACGCTAGAGTGCGCTACCGACTGTGCCCTTCTCAGTAAGCAGGCTGGTTGTCCGAGCGGTGCGCGGAGATCTGCTACGTTTCAGCAGCTGCATTTTAGTGCACCTTATTTATCCAGGCACTTAGCTATGGACTCTTGGTTGTTTCCCCTGCCCCCCCCTCTTTTTTTTTTTTTTTTGCTGTTGATAACAGCTGCGATAAAGACCCTTTGCCCTCATGGGAGTGCGTATCCACAGGATGAGTTCCCAGAAGTGGAACCCGGGTCAGAGGCCACGTGCAGCTGACGTCTGGCTGTCCAAACAGCCAAACTGCCCTCTAAAGGGGCTCTTCCCATCTGTGCTCCCTCCAGAAATGTAAGATCGTGCCTCTTTCTCTAGCGTGGGTTTTTAAAAAAATCACTGTTTCCATTTGTAGCCTGAGCTGTCTTCCTATCAGCTGAAAAGTTCAAAATGTTGGCAGCAAGGGTGGATTCGGAAGACATGCCCGATATAGAAGGGCAGGGGTGGAGAGAGTCGCCTGGGAGCTGAAGGAGAGAGCAGTCCTTCTCCACGCTCTGCGGAGGAGAGTCAAGTGCAGCTGAAAGTTTCAGAAAGATAATCACATGTGGCTGAAGTTCCGCTCCCAGGGTCCTGACCCCAGCCCCCCGGCTTGTGATCGTTTCTTGTCAGAATAAACATTATAGTAGCATATGGACGCGAGCAGCCTTATTTTGTAAAATGCGGCCCTTTGCCTTTTCATTCCTCTCTGTTATGAGGTGTAGGTCTCTTTCTATGAACCCTAAGGTTTAGAAGTGTGGTTTTGTGTGTCAACACAGATACGCCAGGGTTCAGGCAGATCATGAGGAGTTTCCTTCACTCACATTGGTCTAACACAGGGTTCAACCTTAGCTGCCATCAGCATCGCCCAGGGAACTTTTAAAAGGCCAATGCCCAGGCTGTACCCCAGGCCAGTCTCGGGGTGGGGGGGGGGTTGGCCAAGGTGTTAGGATTTTTTTTTTTTTTTTGAAGCGCTACAGGTAATACCTATGTGTAGCCCGGTTAGCCATCAGTCACTGGGACTCATACAGGTGATGGCACATTTTGTAGCCTGCAGATCAAATCTGGCCCCCCCACCTGCTTTTTGAATAAAGTTTTATTGGAACACAGTCATACCCATTTGTTTACATAGTTTCTTTTCGCTTTTACACTAAATCCTGTATTGTATGGTCCATACAGTTTCTTCCTCTCTGGCCCTTTACAGAAAAAGGTTGCTGACCCCTGGGTATAGTAAGCGTGTTTTTCTGTAACTGCTATATGGAATCGATTAACTGTACAAGAATGTTATGAGGACATTGATGAGCACATCACTTGGGTAGCACTCCTCCTCCCAGCCCACCTCACAGTATTCCTGTGAGATGCTTCTTTTCTAACTTACGCTTGAAAGAGCTGCCTTTTCCCTCTGGAATCCAGTATGCGTCCTCCTTTCTGAGAACAGAAATGACCAGGCAGACCTCATAGTCTCCCTTTTGCTGTCACATTTGGAGCTTCAATGTTAAGTCCTTACGTCCTGTTTGTACTTCTTTATTTGTGTCTGTTTTTCTTGTTTCCCTGGTCCTCCTCCTCCGCCTTCTCCTTCTTGCTGTTTGATCACTGCTTCCCTCTGTCCTAGCTTTGTAAGGTGCTTCTGCAGTAAATTCTTTCCCTCCAAAGTGGCTGTGCACTCACACCTGTGAGCGTCTCCAGTCCCGGTGCTGCCGGCTCTCTGAAGAGGCCCTGGTCAGCGCGCACACGCACACACACACACGCGCACACACACACACACACGAACACACGGCTGTTTCTCAGAGCCTTTTCTTAAATGACAAGGATGCTGTCACTCTTGGAATCTCCCTGGCAGCCCGCTCCGAGTGTGTTTTTGGGCAAAGGGCCTTCCTCATCCTAGTGGAGGCCTCGTTGTGGTGATAAAATCAACTCTGAGCAATTTGTTGCTCTGGTCACCTGTGTTGGGTGGGGCATTTGGGAGGCCACCTGCGGTCACTTTAAAGGAAGGAGTCTGAGTGCAGTGTGGGGAAGTGGCCTGTTCCTGAGCGAAGGAGAAGGTTTGTGAGTCAAATCGGAAAACAAAACAAAATCGAAGGGAGAGAGTGAAGGCTTTGAACAGCCCTTGTGGTCCAGCTCTCCCTCTGTATCCTGGGCCTCTAACAGCCTGGGCGACGGAGGCGGCCTTTGGGTGGGTGTAGCAGGCAGATGAAGGGAAGTCGGGGAGTGAGCTCTGAGCTGGTGCAGACAGGCTCCGTGGTAGCTTCTCTGTGTCCTTGACTCGATGCCACGTGCTTTCTGACTGCTTTTCTGGAATCCGTCTGGGTGGGGCATATGCCCACATTCTCAGCTGGGGGTTGGTCAGAGGGTGGCAGGCAGGATGGGCGGTGCTGCTCCTGCCTGCGAATCTCCTGTGCATTCTGAGCCTTTGCAGCCGCCTTCATCTGTCCCCTTCTTATGTTTCCAGGACACTAGAGGAGGCAGGGAAGGAATTCCAGAAATGCAAACTCGCCTTGGCCTGTGTGGCTCAGTTAATTGGGCATCATCTTGAGCACCGAAAGGTTGTGGGTTTGATTCCTGGTCAGGGCACATGCCCAGGTTGTGGCTTGATCCCTGGTAGGGGGTATGCAGGAAGCAGCTGATTGATGTTCATCGATGTTTCTCCCTCTCCCTCCCTCTGCCTTCCTCTCTCTCAAAATAAATAAAAAAATCTTTTTTTTTAAAAAAAGACTTATCAAAGAATACTAAAGGCAAAATCATTTGCATTTAAAGAAGGAAAAGAAAAAGAAATGCAAACGCATGGAATCTGGCCCAGTTGCTCTTATAAAGAGCCCATGGCCGAGGGGGGTGGGGGCAGGACCTCGGCCCAGTGAGTCATCAGCAATCGGAGGCCTTTGCCTGGGACTGTGGTGAGGAGCTCGGACTCCTCTTACCTGAGTGAGAGGACACAGATGTAATACCCAGGGCTAATCTGTTTCCCTTCCCAAAGGCTGGCTGGCTGGAAGGTCTGCCTCTTTTTCTAGTTTTCTCTGCCTTTCCAATTTACGCTCCAGACTAGGTTGAGGAAGAGTGAAGAGTGACGCTTCTGTGATCAATGAGAAGCCCGGCTCCCAGTTATCAGGGTGTTCTCAGAGGGGCTCGGCGTCTCTCGGGTACAAGGCCTCTCTGATGCGGCCTTGGAGTTAAAGCGCAGTCTGGCCAGACGGGTGCCACTTGCTCTGCTAATACTGAGATTGAGCTCAGGACAGTAACCTTTGGCGTTCGAGATTCCCTGACAATGGGGAGCTCCACAGACAACCATCTGGCTGGGACGGAGTTTCTTAAATACTGAGTAAACCTGCCAAGTGTTTTCTGGGGCTGCTATCTCCCAAGTCAGCCCTTGTCATCCAGCCGAGACAAATGACAAAAATGTTTTAGGTCTTTTCCCTCCCATGTTCTAAAACGTGTTGTTTGCGAGTTGTTTGTTCGCCCCTGTAATGCCTGGTCTGACGAGGGCGGGACGGTGTCTTCCAGATCGAAGCAAGGCCGAGATGGACTTGAAGGAGCTGAGCGAGTCCGTCCAGCAGCAGGCTGCCCCCGTGCCTCTCATCTCTCCCAAGCGGCAGATCCGCAGCAGGTTCCAGCTCAATCTTGACAAGACGATAGAGAGTTGCAAAGCACAACTAGGTACGTCTTTGGTTTGCTTTCATCACCAGCAGCAGCATCATCATCATTTGTGGGGACACCACCCAGGAGAAGTCAAAGGTGGATCCTGGCTGCTTTGAACCCTGAGTTGTTTGCTCGACTAACACATATTTCCACTCGTGGCAAAATATTTCAGATTGGCTAATTGTTCGGACAGGGTCTTTGAACTCCTCCGAGTTTGTTCTTAGGCTGTGGCAGCCTGCAGATGCCAGGTGCAGGTGCTGTAGGAGCGGACTGGTCCTCCCGCGTCTGCCTCTGTGCACCGTCTCAGTGCATGTCAGTGTCCTGGCATCAGGATCAGGTTTGCCCTGCCAGTCTCCAACACAAAGCCTTCTCCTCCAGACGAGGCCTCCTCACCCAGCAGACCCATCCTGCCTCTGTACCTATAGCCTCCCTCCCTCTTTCCCCACGCTGTCTGCCTTCAGCTTGGTGTCACCTCCTCCAGGAAGTCTCCTCCGACTGCTCTCCCTATCTGCCCACCTACTTGGATACGTCATTGCTTAGAAGCAACAGTGGTCCCTTTCTGTGGGGGTCTCCCTCCCAGTCTAGGCTGGTAGCTCTGGTAGCTCATCGAGGGCAGGGAGGTCGCCTTAGGAGGATTTGCATTCTTCAAGGTACTTGGTCTTGTGCACATAGGAATGCTCTGGGATATTGGTTGAATAAGTAGATAAAGGAGGGCATTTATAAAGAAGTAGGGGATGGCTGGGCCTGAGAGAGCCACTCCATGTGAGGTTTATGTGTTGGTGGGGGCCTTGGACCTTTGGGTGAGCAAGGAGCTGTGGTTTGGAGTCATCTGGGCTGTGATCAGAGAACATTCCTTGTTGGGTTGCCTGTTTGATTAGGACACTGATTGGCAAGGATGAAGTCTTGCAGTCCATTTAAATATCTCTCCTGATTCCCTGCACACATGTGGTCTAACTCCTTGATTTATTATTGTTGTTGATGAGAATTTTAATATTTCCATTCATGGAGTGTTTCCTATGCACCCTGCATGGTGCTAAGGAAGCACCTTGCAGAGATTGTCCTGGGAGATCAAGACCATTATTAGTCCCATTTTGCAGGTGAAGAAACTGAGGCTTAGAGAGGGAGGTCACTCGTTCGGGGTTACACAGCGAATGAAAGCAGTGGGGCAGGATTTGAATTCCTGTCCTTTGGGCTCTAGCACCCAAGCTTTTCCTGTCACGCGTGTGGTCATGCCCTCCTGCTTGTCCTCCTATGTCTGACCATTAGCTACAGCAGCAGAAGCCCTTTACCTCGCGGGCCTGTCAACCAGAGTGGCCAGGTCTGTGAAATCGCCTGACTTGTGAATTGGGCAATAAGTTCCAAATTAAAAAGCAAGAGCAAACAACAAACTACCCTGTGGGCCCAACCATTGCTTCCCAGATAGAATGTGCTGGTGGTCAGATGTGGCTCCCGGGCTGTGAGTTTGCAGTCTCTGCTTTAAGGCTTTGGCTGGACACAAGGTGAAGGGCCTTCGTGCTTTGGGAATGTGTGAGAACAGCACTGGGTGAGTCAGGAGCCCAGGGTTTCCGCCTTACCTGCCTTGGTTTTCTCTGTGTCCTAGGACAAGGGATTGCTCTAGGCCTCTATTTTCTATTCTGTAAAATGGATCAGTTTTTTTTAAAACATTTTTATTGATTTCAGGGAGGAAGGGAGAGGGAGAGAGAGATAGAAACATCAATGATGAGAGAGAATCATTGATTGGCTGCCTCCTGCACGCCCCCGCAAGGGATCGAGCCCGCAACCCGGGCATGTGATCAGATTCGAACCTGGGACCTTTCAGTCCGCAGGCTGACGCTCTATCCACTGAGCCAAACCGGCCAGGGCAAAATGGATCAGTTTTAAGTGTCTCTCTGATGTTCCCTTCCATCCCTCCCATTTCCCGTATCCCAATTAGTTATCAATACTGCAAAGATTTAGCTCCCGGATTTATGTTGTTTGGTCCCACGTTGTCTTTGGAACCCTCTCCGAACACGGGTTCCATTTGTCAGCAGACTTCGGGGGCACCTGGTTCACTGTCACTGCCCCAGGCCAGTGTGACGCGATTTGAAATGTTTTCTTTCTTTATTTCCAGCGTTTGGCGTGGGAAATGTTTGCGTTTTTGGTCCTGCTCTTTATGTTGTGACTACGCCTCATGCTGGGTTTTCTTTTTGAATTTAGGCATAAATGAAATCTCGGAAGATGTTTACACGGCCGTAGAGCACAGCGACTCGGAGGACTCTGAGAAGTCAGACAGTAGCGATAGTGAGTATATCAGTGATGACGAGCAGAAGTCCAAGAATGAGCCGGAAGACGTGGAAGACAAGGAGGGCGCTCAGGTGGACAAAGAGCTGTCTGCTGTCAAAACAAAGCCCAAGCTGGCCAGCCCGGTGGAGATTAAAGAGGAGCTGAAAAGCGCTTCGCCCCCCAGCGAGAAAGCAGACCCAGGCTCAGTCAAGGAAAAGGCGAGCCCCCCGCCCGAGAAGGACTTCTCGGAGAAAGCCAAACCAACGCCTCACCCCACAAAGGATAAGCTGAAGGGGAAAGATGAGACGGATTCCCCAACGGTCCACTTGGGCCTGGACTCTGACTCGGAGAGCGAACTTGTCATAGATTTAGGAGAAGACCATTCTGGGCGGGAGGGTCGGAAAAACAAGAAGGAACCCAAAGAACCATCTCCCAAGCAGGATGGTAAGTGCCGATCCCAGTTCCCGGTTTCTTGGTTTGGTTTCCAGTGCCACCATTCCTTTGTGTGACCCTCTAACGTCGTCAGCACAGGAGACAGAGCAGAGCTGTGATTGGCTCACGGTCACCTCGCTGGTCATCTGATAGGACCAGGGCTTAAACTGGGCCTGCCCTCCCCTCACCTGCTCAGGACTCGGCATGGATGGTTTTGAGTTGAGAAAAGTCCCTTAGAAAATAAGTTGCTCCTGGTAGTCAAGTTATTCTTCGCCTAAGCACCTTCTTCCCTGATATGTTTTTTTCATTTTCCCGAAGTATTTGTCAACATTTAGACATTTGACAAGATTGAAATTGTTAGGAGTGTTCCCTTGGAAGAGTTTGATAAGTTTAGCTCCCCTTCCTTCCCCTCATGCTGCCCAGGCACCTCAACGTGCGTTTTCTTACCAGAACGTGAGACCATTTGGTAGGTGGTGCCAGGATGGCGAGCACTTCTTGGGGCCCTAGAATTCCAGGGGGCACTGCGCGGTACACACCCGAATCGGTCTTCACCACCTTTGCACTTAACCCACCTGATGCCGGGGGTTTTCAGCACGGGCGCTACTGGCCTTTGGTGCTGCATCGCCTTGTCCTGTGCAGCGGGGGTGGTGAGCGGCATCCCTGGCTGCTCCCCACTGGATGCCCGTAGCACCTGCCCGGTTGAGGCCATTCAAAGCGGCTTGACATTGCCAGATGTCCTCTGGAAGCAGACTCTGCCCGGTGAGAGCCGCTGCCTGAGTCTCGGCAGTGCCGTCATTGCTGCCGTATAGCCTGGACCAGCCGTGGCCGCCGAAGCCGGCGGAGCCCAGGCATGTTGACAGACCCCCAGAAGGAACGTGTGAATGATTTGCAGGGTGTCCTTCCCGTGGACAAAGCAGTCCACGCATTTTTCAGTTGGGGTGGCAAATGGGTCGTGCGGAGAACCCAACACGCCCAAGAAAGACTGGAGAATTCCCTGGGGCCCAGGAGAACCTTGCCTGAGGACACAGTAGAGACGGTAACCATCAAGCTGTAGGTACTGTGTGAGGAACTTGAGGGACTGCGGGTTTCAGTTTTGACTGTGCCCATCTTCTGATAGGACCTAGCTCCTGACCCAGGCCCTTGAGTAAGATGTGATTCTATGCCCCTGGGCATTTCAGAGCCCGGCAGCTTGAAAGGCAAGTCGGGGATGGGCCTTGAGAATCTGTCCTCGGTGGTTAATCAGTCGAGCTGCTCTGGAACCTGCATCCTGCAGGTCATCACAAGAGGCCGAGATGTCCCTGGATGGTGCGATGGAGGGAGAGGGAGCATTTGGGGGCACAGGAAGGATCAACCACCACACCGTCCCCGAGCCATCTCTTAGATTTATGGATGGTGTCTGAAAAATGAGACCATGTAGCGAATGGGGTTTGAGGGACCTCCTCTGCTGTTTCAGAGGGAACAGTAGGAGCAGCCTTTGTTCCACTTGAGGGACTAGTTGGGTGCAGATGGGAGTGCTCCTATGAATGTTGTATTTATACTGTTCCTTTCTTTCCGGAACAAATCTTTCGATTGATTGGTTTTATGCCTCTTCCTCTTCCAGAAAGGATTTGACGAGAGTACATAATCATGAGATAAAGTTGGGTTTTCATTTTTGCTGTAAGCTCCCTAGCAGTCAAAGCAAAAAGGGAAACACAGTCCCTTAAAAGGTGTCACATTTTCCAAAAAATAAAAAAAATCCATTGATTAGATGAAGTAGACATCTGAGGGAAATTTCTTGCACTAACATCTGAGGGAAATTTCTCCAGGAAACCCCCGAGTGAGTGGTGGATTAAGCTGAAGATGATTATAAAACATTATTCAGTCAGAGCAGGTTCTTACGGGTGGGGCAAAACCGACTGGTCTTACATCCAGAGCCCCCTGATGATGGTTTGGTCTTGAAGAATCGGCTTCATGTCGAACTTTGCATTTAGAGCATCTTTTCAATGATGTGCTTTTACTTATAAATTTATTAAAGTGAAGGGCATTTTGGAGTGTGCTGTGGTGACCTCCAACTCACCTGCAGGTAGGAATGCAGCTGGTGTGTAGGGATCCTCAAATAGTAAAACAGCGTTTACCGCTGGTGATCTCAGGCAGAGGCAAAGGGAGTTCACTTGGAGACCTTTGCTCTGCTTACCTGTAACATCAGAAATTCCCTTCCTTCTCTTACAAGGTCCTGTATGCACACGGCAGTGACCAAACTCTGGAATAAGTAGATGAGCTTGATGGGCGATTCCTGGTGTGCGGGCCTTTCAGAGATTCACCCTTTATTGGGCTACAAGTGATTGATCAGACGCTCTGAATTTCTAGGACAGATGGAATTTCCCACAGCTTTTTTTTTCTTCTCTATAAATCATCAGAATCTCCTAGAAACGAAAATATTTTAGTGTCTGAATGATAACCCCCAAAGAGTACTTGGAGCCTGGAATCTTTTCAGATTGCACACTCCTGGTTTTTATTTGGAAAAGCGGGCCAGGCATGATTCCTGCACAACTGTTACCATAGGCAGAGCCCCGAGAGAGAACAGGACCCTTCCTGTGGTTGCCCTTTGCTCTGGGGAGGATTCGGCTAGCTAGTCAACAAGAACAGCATATTATTTGGTCACATGGCAGGAAAGGGGAGGTATTGAAGGCCCTTCTGCAGGTTGGACATCCTGCTGGCCCCCTGCCCCCTGTGGGCTCTTAGTAGGGCCTGGTTCCAAGCCACCTGTGCTAGAAGGGCAGAGGCTCTGGGGCCCAGGGTCGGGTGTCCTGGAAAAGGATTGGGGCTCCTCACTGTAGGAAGAGTTCCCCATCCAGCCCCACCCTGTGCTCTTGCCCTTGAACTTGGCTGAGGATGAGGAGGGCCAGCCAGATGTGATAACCACCAAGAAAGCCCCCAGTCAGAAAAGTCAGCTTATCTTTTCTTCTCAATTTCCTTGGAGATCCCCAAACCCACAGCTCACCGAGCACCTCCCTTAGAAGAATAGCCAAGCTCAGATCTTCCCCAGGTGATATCAATCTAAAAAGACAGGCGGAGTCCTCATGGAAAGAGGTTTGGTGTTCAGGCACATTGTCAGGTTGAGGTGCTGACTTGCACCTGTGCTTTGTGTGTGATCCTCGGGGACTCCTCTCCCCGGTGGCTGGGAACCCCTTTACAAGTGGCACCCTCACATGCTCATCCCCTTTGCAGCACTCAGCGCTCCTGACTCTCATCTGCTTGCCGGCCACTCCTCACTGCCTACCCTCAGTCACCGCAGTGCAATGCTCCCTGTTCCTAAGTAAATCTTTCCGCTCCAAATTCTCATCTCTGCCTGTTGAAATGCTACTCCCTGGCCCCACAGCCCAACTCCTCCCAGAAGACATACCCCATAACTCGACTTTTCTCAAACTTCAGACTTTCACGGTGGTTGTTTGTTGTCATTCCCAAATTCTGCCTGTATAATTACTGACTTAATATTTTTATTTGAAGCAAGCTACTCTTTTAAAAAAATCTAAGCCTATTTTAGACTTAAACGTGCCACCTCACAGTAGCAAAAGTAGTAGTGTGTGCTATACCTAAAATACAAGCCAGGAGAAACACAGTCAACACACAAGCCAGGCTCTGGAAGTCTAGGTAAATACCACTGTGTTGGGAGGGCTCTGGTCTTGGGCGGGTTCCTTTCGAGTTAGGTGTCAGGGCTTCACCATGCTGAGACTGTCCTGGAGGGACTCGGGAGAGATGACAAGGATACCTTTACTTCGAAATGATTTAATGTGACTCGGTGCTTGGGCCATTGGGAAGCCACCGGGTCTCCCAGGCACCTGCGTACCTAGCCAACGGGCTCCTCTTGATCTCTGGATTCAGTTGGGCTGGGTCTTTCTCAGGTGCTTACCCAGGTCTCACTTTGGGAAACAAGACGGTTGCAGCCAACCAGCCCAGGAGTTGATGGGCAGCTTGAGGGCAGGGCCTGGGTCACCTGTTTCCCCCAGGGGCCTTGGCATGCGTGTGCTCCTGGGCATGCACTGAATTTGCTGGTCATTTCTGGCCTTAGGTTGTGTCCCTGAGAACTTGCTGGCGTAGAGGCCCTGCCGGCAAACCTGACTCAAATCCACTCTTTGTTTATTTTTTCCACGCAGTGACTCTAGTTGTAGCTAAAGCTCCACCACTGTCCACTACGGCCGGCAGCCAGTCTCCCCCCGAAACGCCGGTCCTCACCCGCGCGTCCTCCCAAACTCCCACAGCTGGTGTCGCGGCCACCACCAGCACCACGTCCACGGTCACAGCCCCGGCGGCCACCGCCACCGCCACCATCACGGGAAGCCCAGTGAAAAAGCAGAGGCCGCTTTTACCGAAGGAGACTGCTCCGGCCGTGCAGCGGGTCGTGTGGAACTCCTCAAGTAAGTTTCAAACGTCCTCCCAAAAGTGGCACATGCAGAAGATGCAGCGCCAGCAGCAGCAGCAGCAGCAGCAGCAAAGCCAGCAGCAGCAGCCTCAGTCTTCCCAGGGGACGCGATATCAGACCAGACAGGCTGTGAAAGGTACCAGCTCCCCTTCTGCTCTCCGTGGCACCCCGGCCCTCTGTGCCACATCGACAGGAGACACAAAACAGAAACCGTTGTTTTGTTTTTCTCAGTTCCCCTTCGTTTCCTGGCCACGGCAGCCCCAAGGCCGTGCACATTCCACTTGGCATTATTTTTAAAAGTTGTTTCGCAACTCGCATTTTTTACATTTGTTTCCATTTTTTTTTTTTCATTTTGCAAACAATACATGTGCATATTCTCGAGATACTGACACACGTCTACTGTTCCGATCGACTGACCTTTCATTTTATGCGTCTCAGCGGCCACTGTGAACCGTACAACCTTTTTTATGCATGTATGCATATATATTTATACATATATATGACTCTTCATAAAAACACTACTTTTTTTTTCCTGTTTTTCTTTTTTACAACATGAAAATGGTACCATTGTCCTTCACCCATCAGCATGTTTTGGAGGTCTGTCCACGTCAGTACACACAGCGCTCCCTTGCTCTTGCAGACTGCTGCGTAGCGTTCCCTGGTTTGTGTGAAGGCTGCTTCCGGTTTTATCCTGGGAGCAGCGCTGCGGTGCATGCCGTCGTGTGCGTTCCCTGTGCACACCTGTCGTGAACCTTTTGGCGTTATTTTGGAAAGAGTGCAGTGAGAAATTGGTAGCAGAGGTTACCTTAATGGTGAGGAATTAGCCACATCCACAGGAAGAGTCAGCATCAGGAACCAGTTGCTGAAGATGCAGAATAAAAATTTCTTCTGGCCGTGCAGGGTGCTCCATCTGGAGCTAACAAAGGGGATGCCCGTTTGCTCAGCTTTTGTGAGCGCCGGCATAGATCTTACTCCACAGGGCACCTGCATCTAGACCAGGGGTGGGCAAACTTTTTGACTCGAGGGCCACAATGGGTTCTTAAACTGGACCGGAGGGCCGGAACAAAAGCATGGATGGAGTGTTTGTGTGAACTAATATAAATTCAAAGTAAACATCATTACATTAAAGGGTACGGTCTTTTTTTTTTTTTTAGTTTTATTCATTTCAAACGGGCCGGATCCGGCCCGCGGGCTGTAGTTTGCCCACGGCTGGACTAGACCCTTGAAGGTTGGGCTCCTTCACTGAAACTTGTGTAGTGAGTGCACCCTAGTGATTAGGACTCTTTTTTTTTTTTTTTAGTTTTTCTCTCTCTCTCTCTTTTTTAAATTGACCTTAGAGGGGAAGTGAGGGGGAGAGAGGGAGAAATATCGATGTGAGAGAAACATTGCTCCTGCTCTGACCAGGGATCGAACCTGCCATCTGCTGGTACAGGATGGCGCTCCAACCAACTGAGCCACACCGGCCAGGGCTAGTCGGACTCTTAGGAGTAGCATCAGGACAGGATGTTAAAAGGCAGCCAGCCAGATCTTGCATTGGGCCCCCCAGTAGAAACCCTTCCAAGACTGGGGAGCAGGAACACTGGACGATTGCACAGGCAAAGTTGGGGTACAACTGGTTTGATCTCGCTGTTTAAAGTGTTGATCGGGTTCTGAGATAGAGATGGCGGGTCCCAGGCTTCTGCCTTCGGACCCCAGGAGCATTCCGAGCTTAGGCAAGAAGAAGGCCCAGTGCTGTGGTTCTCCATTTGCAGGTTGTCTTGTGTCAAAGACCAACAAAGCTGGACACTAGTTGAAGTGGGAGGGACAGAATTTAATCGCCAATGTCCTGCTGCAGTAGGGAAAGAAGTCCATTGTGAACTTTGATTTGTACAGAGGTGACTGGGTGTTTTAAAAGGAGGACGAGGGAATAGCAAGGGGGTGAGTGGGGACTCAGTAGAGTCAGGGAAGTGAAATTTTACAAAAAGTGGGAGGTGGGGTTGGTCCATGTGAAACCACCTGAATTTGCTGACTGGTACCTATCGAAGCGAGGCCCTTCTTCCCACAGAGCTGGGAGACGGGCCTCATCGGTAGGTGTTGGCTGGAACAGCCATTTATTTGGGTGGCCTTGAGTTTTCTCAGGGAGGCTGGGGTCACCTGAGGGATGCTGCCTGGAGCCGTTAGAGGCCATGTTAGGCTTGTTGAAGTCTTTACTGACCACGTTCGAGGATTAGTCGAGAAAGGGCGCGGAGCAGCCTGGCTGGAGTTCGGTTAGGAGATCATCTCTGTCCCCTGAGAGTGAAAGCTCGCAGGTGTCTGTCTATCGGTTTCCCGCCCTCACCACAGCTGCGCGTGGGGACCGTGGGGACGGCCCTTCCTGCAGCCGGGGCTGACCGGGACCCTTTGTTTCCCCAGCTGTCCAGCAGAAGGAGATCACGCAGAGCCCGTCCACCTCCACCATCACCCTGGTGACCAGCACTCAGTCGTCGCCCCTGGTCACCAGCTCGGGGGCCACCAGCACCCTGGCCTCTTCAATCAACGCAGACCTTCCCATCGCCACTGCCTCGGCCGACGTCGCCGCGGACATCGCCAAGTACACTAGCAAAGTGAGTGCCGGCGGGCACCGGGCGGGCGGGCGGGCGGTCAGGGGACCCGCTTCCTGGCGGGTACTGTTTGGGTCACGACCCCCCAGCTCTCAGGGGCTGTTGAGGAGGGCAGACCCCGTTTTCACTGAGGAGCTCCAAGACGGAATTCTCCCTTTTGGGCCTGACGTTGGACCTCCGCAGAGAAATGTAGACTAGACTGACCCTTACTCCGAGAGGGCTCAGATCCTAAAGTCTGTACCTCACAGGACAACGATGGCCTAGAACCAGAATTACCCTTCAGCCCGAGTCGCTCATGACGGACAGGTTTTCCTTAACGGCGGGAACAAGTTTCTGATCCTTCAGTTAACAAGACTTGGGGTTGGTTTGTTTTGCATTTAGAAGCCACAGGGAACCAAAGTGACAGAGGCTTAAATGTGAGGCATGCAAGGTATGATGCCCGCACCTAGTTTTTTCCAGGAACCAAGAGGACGGGAAGGAAGGCCCTCCTCTCTCTCTCTCTCTCTCTCTCTCTCTCTCTCTCTCTCTCGGTGTTTTTCTTTTCTCTCTTGATTTGCCAAGCGCTCTTATGCTCTTGTTGAATCGGGCGAATAAAACATGGAGATCTCGGCGACCTGTGCGTGTGCTCTGCGGTGATGCGCAGGCACGTTCCAGCAGACCACTCGGTGGTGAGAACAACCATCCGACTGCCAGCCCCAGAAGGTCAGGCGCACAGTAGGTGGTTGGTGCTGAGCTGCCGAATGGGTGCCTGTTGTTTCCTAACTTCTCATCGTGGTTGTGTCACTGTCAGTAACGGTTAATAGTAGTGAGTATTAATCTAACGATGTAGTAAGTTAAGTAGGTAACTATAAAAATGTACTCTTTAAGAGTAAGTAAATTGGTTACTAGTGAGTAAACTATTACGTTTATAGAGAGAATGGGTGGAACTAGTTAAGAACAGTTGTTTCTTGAATTCTTGAAGTCTTATTTATGATAAAGAGTTGCTGTTATGTTGTGTTAAAGGTAGAATCTTTTTCAATTCTGATGGCATGAAACATACAGACCTAATGTTTTACCAGTGAGTTTTTGTTGTTCATCTAAAAAAATTCCTTCTCTCAAGGAATTATGTTAGTTACCTGTTGCTGCGTAACAGATCGCTACAACTTCTCACAGGCTTCTTATCAGTTCGTGTGGGTCAGGCTCACTGGGTCCTTCCTCAGGCCTCTGGCTGCGCGCAGTCCTAGGGTCGGGGTTTCGCCTGAAGGTTTCCCCACCTCAGTTCCCAGCTGGCTGTGGCCTGGAGGCCCCCCTTGCTGTGTGGGTCTTCCCCACATGGCAGCTCGCTCCACCAAAGCCAGGGAGAGAGAGCCTGCGAGCAAGATGGAAGTTTCCATCTTACGTAGCATTGTCACAGGCATGACACCCACGACCTTCTTCATCGATGAGAAGGTCACCAGGCCGGCCATCTTGGAGTCGGTCATACTGGCTAAGATGACAGCGGCAACAGCTTATGTGTGCATGGCTTTAACTGTGGGTTCCACACTGTTAGAAGCACTTTTTGTATGTGGCTTAGTTTTACTCTTAATGACAAATGGATGGGGTGTAAGTACTGTTACCACCCCCATTTCATAGATGAGAGAACTGAGGCCCAGCGAGGTTATGCACCTTGTCTAGGGTCACACAGCTAGAGAGTGGCTGGGCGGGGATTTGAAGGGTAGCAGCCAGGATCTAGACCAGTGATGGCGAACCTTTTGAGCTCGGCGTGTCAGCATTTTGAAAAACCCTAACTTAACTCTGGTGCCGTGTCACATATAGAAATTTTTTGATCTTTGCAACCATAGTAAAACAAAGACTTATATTTTTGATATTTATTTTATGTATTTAAATGCCATTTAACAAAGAAAAATCAACCAACAAAATGAGTTCGCGTGTCACCTCTGACACGCGTGTCATAGGTTCGCCATCACTGATCTAGACAGTGGCTTTGAGCTGGTTTGTGAATTCTCATGCAGCCTGCTCACCACACGTGTCCGGTGTTCCCGCAAACTGATTGTTCTTGCATGTGGCTGTCTTCAACCAGTCCTACTTAAGATGCAGTGTGGCTCAAGAGGTAATCAGAATCTAGTCTTGGGGATGACATTGTAGTATAGCTTCCCCTTTTTGAATAAAACGCATGAATGGTTATAGAGTTCGCAGTGGGAAGATTCAAATGTCGGTTATTTTGGGCCATTCTCAAGATTTTTGTCTTACCCATTCACCTCCTGAACTAGTATTGACTTAATATTTTTATTTAAATTAAATTTTATTTAAGTTGACTTAAAATTAAATTTAACCTCACCAGATACCATTCCTTGTCCATTCTTTTTGTCATCGAAGTGTTAAAGACACATAATGGCACCAATCTGAGACTTTCTTCCTAACCCAATCTGTAGGGTTTCCAGAGAATTGAAAGGGGAGTCATTTTTTCATTACTGATTTGAGAAGATCCTGGAATTGCCCAAATGGTCTCTTTTCTGCTTGCAATTAACGCGTGTATCACCTTCCGTTGATTTGGTCCAAGCTGTCTATTTACAGATGAGAAAACTGAGGCCAGGATTTGGCTAGTGGTTTTCACGGAGCCAGCGGCTCCTGCAGCCATTACAAAAAAAAAGTTTTTGCCCTAACCGGTTTGGCTCAGTGGATAGAGCGTCAGCCTGCGGACTCAAGGGTCCCAGGTTCGATTCCGGTCAAGGGCATGTACCTTGGTTGCGGGCACATACCCATTGGGGAGTGTGCAGGAGGCAGCTGATCGATGTTTCTCTCTCATCGATGTTTCTAACTCTCTATCCCTCTCTTTTCCTCTCTGTAAAAAATCAATAAAACATATATATTTTTTTAAAAAAGCAAAATGTTGAAAGCTTGCTACATTATCAATTAAAAAAAAAGTTTTTATTGGTTTTAGAGAGTGAGGAAGGGAGAAGGATAGAGGGAAACATCGGTGCATCCATTGGCTGCTTCCTGCACTCCCCCTCCTGGGGATTGAGCCCGAAACCTGGGCATGTGCCCTGACCAGGAGTTGAACCTTTTTGGTGCATGGGATGACGCTCACCCATTTAGCCACACCAGCCAGGGTTCCCATCTCCAATTTTATTGTTACCTCCTGCCTCCCCCTTTACTCTTAAGCAAAATTGAGGGATGAACTTTCTGATAGCAGTTTTCTTTGCTGTTAAGAAAATGGACATGGTGGCATGTTTTTGGAGCCGATGAACTTTCCTGTCTCCAGGGTGACCCCGAGTTAAAGACCCAGATTTGTGTGTTTTGGCAGGAGGGCGCTCTTGATGAACGTAGAGTTCTTGGCTATATTTGGAAGTAAGAGTGAAAGTCCGTCCACAGATTCATGATTTCTTTAGAATGGAATGTAACCATGGCGTTCGGAAGGGATTGAATTTCATCCATTTTCTAAAGTTTTCATGTAAAGCAGTTTCGTTCTCATACTTTAACGTGGACGGTGCAGTGGGGTAAGGAGGCCGGGCACAGCGACGGACCCGCGAAGCTGCATAAAGCAGTGTTTTTGCTGGCAGCGTCCCAGTGTGGCCGCAGCACGCGGGGAGCGCCCCATTTGGGGGTCAAGTTGGGGTTACCGTTCTGGGGGTTGGCAGGATTTTCACAATTCCATGCTCACGTGAATTTATTTTTCTGTGAAAATCAGATAAACGGGTCTTTCTTTATGAACACCTACTCTGTGTGGCAGGGGCTGAACCACAGGCTGCACGTGGTTTTCTCTTTAATCCTCGTGCACACTCTACGAGGGGGCACTGTTCTTGTCCTTGTTGTCTGCAGGGGAAGCTGAGGCTGGGAGAGGGTGGGTGGTAAGAGGTGGTGGTGGGTTCAGATCTCGGGCATTAGATACCAGGGTGCTCTTTGTCCTGCGCTGAAGCTGCAAAACACAGGGGAGACCTGGCAGCAGCCAGGCCACGCCCGAGACCGCGTTTGTTCTTCTGTCCGCTCCTCTTTCCCCGGGATGCTGGAGGGTCAGCTGGCACGTGGGAGGTAGGGGGGCAATTCATCCTGCAAACGTACTTGGTCCTCAGCTTTCTGTGTGGATGTGAGCTGATGTCACACACTCGCTGGTGCGCTCATGGGTCCGATAGTTACACAAACTGGAAAGGCAATGCCCTAATCAAAGGCATTAAGATAACAAACCAGCCGAACCGGTTTGGCTCAGTGGATAGAGCGTCGGCCTGCGGACTCAGGGGTCCTGGGTTCGATTCCAGTCAAGGGCATGTACCTTGGTTGCGGGCACATCCCCACTGGGGGGCGTGCAGGAGGTAGCTGATCTATCTCATCGATGTTTCTATCCCTCTCCCTTCTTCTCTGTAGAAAATCAATAAAATATATATATATTAAAAAAAAGATAACAAACCAGCCACACCCACACAATAGACTATATTATTGGCCCATAAAAAGGCATCGAGTACTGATACACCTTTGGGAACAGATAAACCTTGAGAAGAGTGTGCTCAGTCCAAGAAGTGGGTCCCAGAGGACCACACACTGAATAATTCCACGTATGTGAACTCTCTGGATTCAGCTAATCTGAACAGATAGGGAGCAGATTAGTGGCTGTCGGGAGCCTGGGGGTGATGGGCATCTTGGTGGGGGCGGGGGTGAAGGTTAAGGGGGAGTGGAGTTTCTTTTTAGAGTAACGAAAAGGTTCTAAAATTGATTGTGGTGATGGATGTAGAACTCAGTATGCTAACAGCCACTGAATTGTACACTGTAAATGGGTGAATTATAGGGTTTAGCAATGATCCTATATAATAAAGAGCTAATATGCTAATTAGACCAAATAGCCAAATGACCTTCCTGACGTCTTTCCTGACGAAGCCAGGGCCGGAGGGAAGCAGCCCGGGTCCCAGGTGCCTGTGGGCCGCCCGAGGAAAGCCAGCCCGGGTCCCAGGTGCCTGCTGGTGGCTGGAGGGAAGCCGTGTCAGCAGCCTGGAAAAGAAAGGCCTACTCTTGCACGAATTTTCGTGCATCGGGCCTCTAGTATCTCAATAAAACGGTTTTGTTTTTTAAAGGGAAAGAATTGAACAGCAACAGCAACAAAACAAAATATCCCCCCCTTGAACCCTGTGCTGGCTACTCCAAACGCTCCTGGGGGCCGTCGACCGCTCGAGCGTAGCCTGTGGCCATAGAAACTAGCTTTATGGTTGTGAACTTGTCCTGGCAGATGGGACAGGGAACGTGTGGGTGGTCCCCACCCTGGTTTATATCAGGGTCTCTTACCTCGGCACTAGTGACCCTTGGACTGGGTAATACTGTTGTGGGGGCTGTGCTGTGCACTGTAAATGTTCAGGGCGCCTCTGGATTCTACCCACTGGATGCCAGTGTCGTGTCCCCGCCCCCCCCCCCCACACACACACTGCTCCCTCACCAGTCGTGAGCCCCCAGGTGAGACCCGCTGCTTCACGCAGGTGGAGTTTAGAGGAGTGTCATCTAGAAAAGCCTCGGGAAGTGATTGCCTGAATTGTTTCTCTTTTTATCTTTCAGATGATGGATGCAATCAAAGGAACGATGACAGAAATATATAATGACCTTTCCAAAAACACTACTGGAAGCACAATAGCTGAGGTCAGAGATGACGGTTAACTCCCTGTTTGCTGCGCGTGTTTTGTGGGCCGCTGGAGGATGGGGCCGTGAAGAAGCTTCTCGGGGAAATCCCTCCAGGGCCTGGCCCGGTCGCCAGGCTTGCTCCGCTGATGGGAGTTGTTGGGGAGGGTGTTTCTCATTGAGCCAGAAGGCTGATGCTGTCTGTGATCAGTTCATTTTTCATAAAACCGCCCAAACCAGCGCCTGAGTTAATGCACTGATGAACCTTGTGCTCCATGCAAAATTGGCTCCTTGGTCTTTTTCTACAAGAGATCCTAGTTGTCTAAGAATGGGTGGTCCGAGCCTGCACAGTTTCTGTGAGGGCCTGGGGAATCCAGTCGTGAAACGCTAAAAGGCCCACTTACGAAGTGACCACTTGTAAAAGTCGGCCTCCACGAACTTCTCTCAGGCGAATTCCCTGCGAGCCAGATGCAGAAAGGGCACCAGGGGAAAGAAGTGGCAGGGTTTCTTGAGATCGCTGAGGGACACGTAGAAGGTGGGAATCCCAGGCAAAGTCATTGCCTGAGGAGGGCCTGGCGGGCCCAGCCTGGTGCTCAGGCGAAGGGAGAGTCTTCAGGAAGGTGCCTCGGGAGGCCTCGGCAGAGCGCAGTGTGGCTAGCAGGCGTAGGAGAGGCCCCAGGAGAGAGCAGCGAGTCACGTGGACATTGAGTTTTCTGAACCCATGTCTTGTGCACTCGGGTTAACGCACTGGCCTCTCTCTGGACGGTAGCCGTGTGGAGAGCAGCTGAGATCCAGGCTGCCTGCTCTCCTTCACCACCTGACGTTGAGCTGACACCAGGGAGAGGTCGGGCTCCTGGGCTCCGCGGGTGAGCGGCTCCCAGACCTGCCCTTTACGTCTCTCTCTGTCATTACAGATTCGCAGGCTGAGGATTGAGATCGAGAAGCTTCAGTGGCTGCACCAGCAGGAGCTCTCCGAGATGAAACACAACTTGGGTGAGGCCCGGGGAGGGGTCTGCCCCCAGCAGGGTCGGGGACGGGGACCATCCCTGAGCCTCTGGAGTCAGGCCCGATGTGAATTGAGTCAGATGTGCACCAGGGGTTGTCCCGCTCCTGGGGGGCCCACCGGGGGGACCCAGGCATGAAAGCAGGTATTAAAGCCGCTCCTTTCTTCTGGAAAACACCAGCATCAACAAAATAACGGTAACAGCAGCACCCACAGCTCCGACTTACTAAACTCTTAACCTAGAACCAGAAACCTTCTGAAGCACTTTTTCGTAAGTTAGCCAGTTTAATTCTTACGGGAACCCTTGCGACAGAGGGCTCTCCGGTCCCAGTTTTCAGGTGAAACTGAGGCACAGACATGCTAAGGCAGATGTTCAAAATCGTGCCGCCCTGATTCACATCCAGGCTTGCCCCCCGAAGCGCTGACTGTGGAGTATCTGACTAAGTTTTGAATGTTGCCCGTGCAGCCCACGCTGGAGACAAAGCTGCCCTGTTGGTCCCTGGATTAGATGGACTGCTGTTCCACCTACCATTCTGTGTAAATATTGGTAGTTATTTTTTCCCCCAGAGGTAGAGCCTCTTTCTTCCAGACCCTCATGTAATATTAGTCGCAGGGACAGGATGCTGGAAACAAACGGAGGCTGTCTTTGTTGGGCAGGCGTGCCCAGCTGTGCCCACCGGCTCCCCAGGGATAGAAGCGGAAATCACCCCCTGCAAACTGAAATCCTTATGAGGCCAACCAGAGGAGCAGCCCTCCACTCTTTAGCGTGTTACCATCAGGAAGTTGTTGCTTCTTGTTTTTCTAGTCAGGTCAAATAACCTCTCTCTCTTTTTTTGATTGGTCATCTTCACCCAAGGATATTTTTCCATTGTTTTTTATTTTATATATATTTTATTGATTTTTTACAGAGAGGAAGGGAGAGAGATAGAGAGTTAGAAACATCGATGAGAGAGAAACATCGATCAGCTGCCTCCTGCATATCTCCCACTGGGGATGTGCCCGCAACCCAGGTACATGCCCTCGACCGGAATCGAACCTGGGACCTCCCAGTACGCAGGCCGACGCTCTATCCACTGAGCCAAACCGGTTTTGGCATTCCATTGTTTTTTAGAGAGAGTGGAAAGGAGGGAGAGAAAGAGAACATGTTTGTGAGAAAGTCACATCAATTGGTTGCCTCCCACACGTGCCCGAAAGAGGGCCGGGGATAGAGCCTGAAACGGCTCCTTTACAAGGGATTAATTTTCCTTACTGCTCTGTTTAGGAGGGGGTCCTTCTTTAACTTCAGGAAGAGGATTTTGAGGAATTGGGGTACCATTTATTTTAATGTACAGGTCTCTCCCAGGTGAATTGCATATGGACTTATTGTCTAAAGTAAAAGTAGAAAAATCTCAGTAGATTGAGCAGTTCGATCGTTGACCTGTTAGTGTAATGATCAACCACAGTGCCCTGTCTCCATTGCCGCTAACCACACCAGAAAGACAGCATGTCTGAGTTCAAGTCCCAGCTCTGCCCTTATTAGCTGTGTGCCTCAGTTTTCTCATCTGTGAAAAGGGTATTATAGTAGTACCTCATAGGATCAGTATCTGGATTAAATGAGTTAAGATTTCAAAAGTGCTTAGAACACTCTCTGCATATAGTAGGTGCTGTGTAAGTACTCAGTGGAAAAAAAGGCTGGTGCTTATGGTAAAGTTCAGAGTAAGTTTAGTGGCAGTTGTTTTGCGGGTTTATTTGAAGGCTTCCCACAGAACTACTGTGGTGCTGCCTTGATTGCTCTATCATTATTGAGATAATGTCCTGTTACTGTCATATATGATGAGGCAAATGTCATGCCATTGTGACACCCGCCCATTTTACAGATGAAGACGTTGGGGCTCAGGGAGGGAGGGGTGTCGCACAGCCGGGCTATCTCTGAGCCGGGGTTTGCCTCAGATCTGGTCTGAACAACCCCTGCCCGGGCCCAGGGACAGGCAATGGAGCCAGTGTCCTCTCCCCTCCTCTGCCAGAGCTGACCATGGCGGAGATGCGGCAGAGCCTGGAGCAGGAGCGGGACCGGCTCATCGCCGAGGTGAAGAAGCAGCTGGAGCAGGAGAAGCAGCAGGCGGTGGACGAGACCAAGAAGAAGCAGTGGTGCGCCAGCTGCAAGAAAGAGGCCATTTTCTACTGCTGCTGGAACACCAGCTACTGCGACTACCCCTGCCAGCAGGCCCACTGGCCCGAGCACATGAAGTCCTGCACCCAGTCAGGTGCGGCCACGCGGGGCGTCTCCAGCCCAGCTCCCCAGGGACCACAGGCCACAGGAGGCTGACTCGGAGGGGGGCCTTGCCCAGCCCCTCGTCCTTCCGTCACTCAACACACTGTCTCTCTTTCACTCACACACACACACACACACACACACACAGCAGCGTGCACACACGGCAGAGACTACAGGTGCAGGTTTTGGAACCTCTGGATTCTTTGTGTTATTTGCCCAAGTGTGGGGCTTGCAGTGCCAGCCCAGATGAGTTTAGTTTCATGCGAGTTGCAGCGGTTCCCAGCGGGGAGCCATGTCTGTGTCCTGTCCCCACGGCGTTGGCGGTGACTGCAGACATCTGCGGTGGTTACAGCGGAGGGTGGCTACTGGCATCTAGAAGGTAGAGGCCGGGGTGGGGGCACAGGGTGGTTGCCCACGCGGAGCATGATCTGATCGGTATCTGTCATGATACCCAAGTGGAGAAAGCCTGCCGTTTAGGGGACCCGGGACTCAGGGCTTTAAGTCGTAAGGATTCCCGTTCTGGTGAAGGAGACGTCTTGGTGTGGAACTGATCCAGTCTTGCAGTCTCTTTCTAGCACGTGGCACGCGGTCTCAGCCAGGATCCTCCGACAGGAGACACTGTCCCATTAGAATGGATTAATACTATTTTAAAAACAGTGTTTACAGCTAGCTTTTATTCATGGCAAATAATATTAGCTTTATGTGCTTAGAATTAGAAGTGTCCATTTTAAGTATTTAAATGTAAAAGTCATCAATAATATGACAAGGTAGTGTGTCTGTAGATTGGCAGGATTTTCAAAGATGACGGCGTAAGAGGCCAGGTTTGAGAAGCACCTTCAATAATCTCCCGTTAAAAGTTGTTGTTTTTTCTAAAAAGACGAGTTTAAACCATACGTTGCTGTGTCCTTTAACCTTCTTCAGGGAGATTTCTTCTTATAGTGACTTTGAACCTCCCAGGTTCTGGAATGTGTCTGATGACCCCTTGCGTTGTTACGCGACGGCCAGAGTGCCCTTCTGCTCTCCTTTCTTTGCAGCATCTTAATGTCCCTCCTCCCGAAATTGTCTCACATCCCTAGTTTTCCAGTTGTCCAAGTTTCTTCTGTCCCCCGAGGCTCCATGCCTGACCATCATGTTGCTTTTCACGTGGATTTCCCCGCCTCCTCTGGAGGAAGCAGTTGCATGGGGCTAACCTCGTTCTGGAGCTAGAACTTAGGAAGCTTGTCATTCTAGGTGAGCAGTAGCTGGCTGCTCACTTGGGCCTTCATTTATTCTGTGAACATGCTTTCGTCTCCAGAATCATTTAGGAAAACACAAATTCCTATAAGCGTGACCATATTTTCACACAGGTCTGGATTCCAGCTTCTGGAAAACGGGAGGTCTGGCCCCCTTGGGGGGTGGGTCCTGTGCCGAGCCGTGGTCCCTGAAGGTCCGGAGGCCACGGCACTTGGCTTACTCGTGGCTTCTCTCCCCTTCACCCCCAGCTACCGCCCCTCAGCAGGAAGCGGATTCCGAGTCGAACACAGAAACACTAAACAAGTCCTCCCAGGGGTCCTCCTCCAGCACACAGGCCGCCCCTTCAGACACAGCCAGCGCCTCGAAAGAGAAGGAGACGTCTGCTGAGAAGAGCAAGGACAGCGGCTCGGTGAGCACCCGCACGCCATGGGGCGACGCCGATTCCCTGGGCCAGGAGAGTCTGTTCCTTTCCCCAGGCCTGCCTCCCCGAAACTCGCCCGTTGCAGTAGATGGTCCGTCTTCAAGGTGGGGCAGTTAGACTGTGGGTGGGGACGGGTCTTAGCAGGTGTTAGCAGGTCGCCTTCTCACCGGCGGGCACCCGGGCGGGGGCAGAGGAGTATGGAGTCCAAGGTGACCCTCGTGTGACTCGACAGCTGCTCCCGGCGACGCCAGGTTTAGAACAGCGTTGTCTAGGAGAACCTTCGGTGGTGAGGGGCTGCTCTGAGTCTGCGCTGCCCAGTCTGCAGCCACGAGCCACACGGGGGTGTGAGTTACTCTGATGCCCATAGTCACATGGGACTCGAGGCTGCGATGGGCAGTGGAGGCCGCATCTCTCCCTGCCCCGCGTGGGGAGTGTCCGACGGATTGTCTGTCAGCAGCATTGTAGGTGGCACGTGGGTCATTTTCTACATTTTTGGTCATAATGACTTTATTTCAGCGTGTGTGAGGAGAGAAATAAGTCATTATCCCACCAGTCAGAACCCTCTGATTCCAGTGATATTTCCTCGTGAGAGGTTAATGTGACATACAAGGGAATGGACACAGTTTGGGAGGAATAGACTTCCTCTTTGGAGATGGCAGAGCTCTGGAGGGCTGGCAGGCCACTGAGCGGAGGTGCGGAGGCAGCGAGTATTCTGGGAGCTGAGGCTGAGGGTTGAGTCAGGGCCGCCTGGGGCTGTGGTCCAGCCTGTCGGGCTGGGGACAGCGCACAGGTAGGGGGCCACCCCCGCTGACCTGCCTCCGCTGCCTGCGTCACCGGGCAGAGGGCACAGAGGTGCCTCGGGGGCAGAAATGAGCACCCCCAAGGATCCCTGGACTCCCCTGGGGGCTCCATGGGCCCCGGTGCCGTGAGTCCATCTCTCTCTCTTTGTATTTCTAGACCCTCGACCTTTCTGGCTCCAGGGAGACGCCCTCCTCCATTCTCTTAGGCTCCAACCAAGGCTCTGGTACGTTGCCCCCTGGTGGGTGAATGGCGCGCTCATTCCACGTGGGCAGAGGGGAAGCCATTTCCTTAGAGAGAACTTGAAGGGTTAAGGGATGTCCAACTGCCGTGGATCCTTAGGGATCCTTGGGGGTGCCCTGGGCGGGTCAGTGGGGGTGAGGGAGTGGCTGGGCAAGGCAGCTGTCAGACACCTCTAAAGTGACCAGTGTTTGCCTGTACAGTAAGTCCTCACTTAATGTTGCCGATAGCTCAGTGATGGCGAACCTTTTGAGCTCGGCGTGTCAGCATTTTGAAAGACCCTAACTTAACTCTGGTGCCGTGTCACATACAGAAATTTTTTGATCTTTGCAACCATAGTAAAACAAAGACTTACATTTTTGATATTTATATATTTAAATGCCATTTAACAAAGAAAAATCAACCAAAAAAATGAGTTCGCGTGTCACCTCTGACACGCTTGTCATAGGTTCGCCATCACTGCGATAGGTTGTGCAACTTGAAGCGAAACGATGTTTAACGGAACCGGTTTTACTGTAGGCCAGCGGATATAAGCAGTTAAGACCCCACGGCCTCTCGTCAATCTTGTAATGAAGTGAACAAAACGGTGTTATTGAGGACCTGCTGTGTTTACTTACTGGGGACCCACATAAGACTTCATCTGGACACAGGGGGTTCCCTTGTGGACCTGGGTGGGTAGGAGATGTGCTTTGGGGTCGGGCAGCCCTTCTGCCCCCAGGGAAATGACCACGATAAATGAAGCCGAGGGAAACTATTCCCAGCACCTGTGTTTGGTGGATGAGGGCACGCGAGCCTTTAGGGAAATGAAGAAAAATTTTAGGTGGATGATCTTTCTGTAAAAACCGCTCCTCTTAGGAATAAATAAACTGGCAGGCTGTATTGGGAGATTTTCCAAGACTGAACTTTGGTTTTTCTCTTCTGTGAGATTTGAGCTGTCCTCCTTTCTGGCCCGAAGGGTCTTTGTCCTATACCAGTGGTTCTCAACCTTCTGGCCCTTTAAATACAGTTCCTCATGTTGTGACCCAACCATAAAATTATTTTCGTTGTTACTTCATAACTGTAATGTTGCTGCTGTTATGAATCATAATGTAAATATCTGATATGCAGGACGGTCTTAGGCGACCCCTGTGAAAGGGTTGTTCGACCGCCAAAGGGGTCGCGACCCACAGGTTGAGAACCGTACCCTCTAAACCTGTGGGTCATTCCAGAAGGCTTCCCAGAAGGTATCTTCACTGAGGACAGTTCTGCTTAATTTAAGGTTTCTCAGCTCTAAGGTCTCTCTCCGCTGGATAATTCAAAAACTTTCTTGTGGAGGATGCAGTGATGTTCATTGTTAGTGTGGCATGAGCTGATTTTAGGGAGACTATGAACTTGGCATTGAATGCAATTGAACCACCTGTTGAAAAAGTAACTCCTCCCACCCCCACCCCCTTCCATTCCTGATAGAATCTCCGAGAACAGGTGCATTTTGGTGCTAAGATGTCTTTTGCATTGCTTTGATATTTTGTAGTCCTCTTTCTAACACAGAGAGAGCAGACTTTAGACCTGAGCAGCATGGTATCCACTTAACAAATTAATACTACAATTTGCTTTTCACTGTGTTTGTTTGTAGAGTTGCCTTCTATGTATGGGCAAGTATTAATGATTTTCTACCTTGGGTGGTGCTATAAAAGCATCTGTTTTATTTAAGTTTAAAAATGAGTTTGGCCCTAGCCGGTTTGGCTCAGTGGATAGAGCTTTGGCCTGCGGACTGAAACGTACCAGGTTCGATTCTGGTCAAGGGCATGTACCTTGGTTGCGGGCACATCCCCAGTGGGAGATGTGCAGGAGGCAGCTGGTCGATGTTTCTCTCTTATCGATGTTTCTAACTCTCTATCTCTCTCCCTTCCTCTCTGTAAAAAATCAAGAAAATATATTTAAAAAAAAAAGATTGGTAAAAATCCTTTACAAAAAAAAAATAAAAATAAAAAATGAAAATGAGTTTGTTCTTAAAACATGAACTAAATAGTATGTAGGAGGATTGTGGGTGTGTCAAAATTGTGCAGGTGGTGTGAGAAAGGCCCACGTTGGAGAAACGCTATTTCAGATGGGGGGCGCTGTTGAGGTTGATGAACAAAATACAGCAGCAAAGTGGTGGGATCCACAAGGCTGATGGGGAATGACTGATGCCGAGGTGTGTAGAATCTGCTGGAATAAGCCGGGTTGTAGACAGGACTGTGGTTGGGAGCTGCATCGTATTCCAGTTCGGAGGCGAATGAGGTATATCCCAGCCCAGGGGTCAGCAGACTCTGTGAAACTTAGGGCCACATGTAAATACATGGGCCCTGCCGGGTGGAAGCAGACATAGATAATACGTCAGCCAGCGAGTATGGCCACGCTCCAATGAAACTGTTTGGAAAAATAGTCCTTGGGCTGGATCTGGCCATCATTGGCTGACTCCAACCTAAAGCACACAACCCAAGACGGTGGGAAAGAAGGTTCTGTTTTATAGGAACTAAGTAACCAGCAGGAGAGAGGAGGCAGGATGCTCTGGTAGATGCTGGGAAGAAACTCTGGTAGGTTTGGTCCAGGTG